CGCCGCCCCTTAGCGGCCCCCAGCTGGCCCCGTCGACCCGTGCGCCTGCCCCTTAGCACCCCGTCGCAACACCATTGGCCCTGTCAGAACGAGCAGCCCAGCCCGAACCGAGCCGCCCAACACGAACCGAGCCGTGCGACCCGAACCGAGCCGCGCCACCTGAACCGAGCCGAGCCGCCCTACCTGAACCGAGCCGCGCCGCCCGTCCTGGACCAAGCCGCCCTACCTAACTCGCTGCCTACTGTTTCTAGGGTGCTACTAATGCTGCTATGGCTAGCCCTCCTGTGCTAGCTTTCGATGTTGAGGGCCGCCCAGTGAAGTTCGATAGCTGGCTAGATGACCTACACCTCTTCCTACAGCTCACTGCCAAGGAGGACATCTCACAGTACGATCACGCCCGAGGCCATGCTACTGCTCCTCCTACTACTGCTGACAGCACTGCCCGCTCACAGTGGCAGACTCATGACGCCCACGCCCGCTTCGCTATTCGCAACTCTCTACCGATAGACGAGCGCGAGCACTTTGGACAGCACAAGACTGCACAGGCAGTGAACACCGCTGTCGTTGCCCGCTACTCCTCACCTGCCTCTGCTGCGCTAGGCCGTCTCTCACTCCCCTACTTGTTTCCTTGCCTGGCCTCGTTCCACACAGTCGCTGACGTCATCACGGCTGCGGCAAGGGCAAAGGGGGCAAGGGCGGTGGAGGTGACGGCGGGGGAGGCGGTGGTGGGGGTGGTGGTGACGGTGGGGGTGGTGGCGGGGCTGGGGGAGCTAGTGGCAACGGTTGGGGTGGTAGTGGCACCGGCCGGGGCGGTGGCAGGGGCGAGGGCAGTGGTGGGGGCGGCGGTGGACGCGGCAGCGGCAGGGGAGGAGGTGGTCAAGGCGGTGGTGGTCGTGGAGGCACTGGCGGTGGCCAGAGCCTACAGCACTCTCCGTCGCCCCAGGAACTCCGTGAGTGGTACACTCGGCAGGGGGGGGGGGGGTGGTGGCCTTAGCTGCACCTACGTCATCCGCACTGGTGACCGCACTGGTCAGACGTGTGGGAGGGCGCACCCCACGCAGCGCTGCTTCTCACGCCTTGACGACGCTTGGCGTACTCAGTTCCCTGACGCCACTGAGCTGCCCCGCTGGGCTGATCTGATGAAACAAAACATTGATATCTTTGTTCTAGACTTTGATGCTATTCTCTCTTCCATGTATGTGATGTCTATTGGTGGAGAGGGTGCCCAGTACCTGACTGTTTCGCCCAACCCGGGCATTCGACCTAGTGAGGCTACCGCTCTAGGTGCTAGAGTGTCCGCTACCCTAGGTGCTGGTGAGGCTGCTGCTCTAGGTGCTGGTGCATCTACGTCCCCTGAGACTGAGTCGACTAAGGCACTCCACACCTTTACACTAGACTCAGGTGCCTACCGCTGTTTCTTTCGTGACCGCACGGCTCTTGAGCAGCTTGCTTGGCCGGTTGCAGTCTCCCTCGCTGACCCCTCTAGGGGTCCAGTCCTTGCGACCTCCTCGACTGTCCTCCCCTGTCCGGCCGTCCCGTCAGGCACACTGTCTGGTCTCTACCTCCCCTCGTTCTCTACGAACTTGGTGGCGGGTAGTGCGCTCCAGGACAGGGGTGTCCACCAGTTCACCCCTGCCTACGAGCCCGTGACACACTGCACGTGTGCTCGGACGGGCCGTCACCTTGCGAACTTCACACGGCAGCCGGGGTCGGACCTGTACACACTGACTACTGAGTCCCCTCAGGTAGCTACGTCTGCGTCTGCGTCAGGTCAGCTGTCGGCTCCCTGCTCGTGCCGCTCTCTGGCGCACGAGACGGTCCTCTGGCACCAACGCCTTGGTCACCCGTTCGTGCAGCGCCTTCGGGCAATGCACAAACAGTACCTTATCTCTGGTCTTCCCAGGGTTCTCCCTCCCCTCCCACCCTCACCTGCTCCTCCCTGTCTTCCCTGTATCGAGGTGCGGCAGCGCGCCGCTCCTCACTCCTCCTCGTTTCCCCCCACGACTGCTCCCTTGCAGACGCTCCACATGGACGTGTGGGGCCTAGCCCGCGTCCGTGATCAGGGTCAGGAGAGGTACTTCCTGATAGTTATTGATGACTACTCGCGCTACACCACGGTCTTCCCCTTGCGCACCAAGGGTGAGGTCCCTGATGTTTTGATCCCTTGGATCCGCGCTTCTCGTCTCAAGCTCAGCGAGCGTTTCCACTCAGACTTTCCTGTCCTGCGCTTGCACTCTTACAGAGGTGGTAAGTTCTCCTCCGACCTCTTGGCAGCCTACTGTGCGTAGCACGGCATCTGCCAGTCGTTCACGCTTCCGGCCTCTCCACAGCAGAATGGGGTTGCTGAGCGCCGCATTGGCTTGGTCATGGAGGTCACTCGTACCTCCTTGATCCATGCTGCTGCCCCCCACTTTCTATGGCCGTTGGCAGTCCGATAAGCTGCACATCAGCTAAACCTCTGGCCCCGTGTCTCCTTGCCGGAGACTTCCCCGACTGCGTTGGATGGGAGAGGTTGGCGATGCGTCGAGTTTTTGGGTCTGAGGATCTCGGGCTTTTGTCCGCGATACGCCAGCGGACAAGCTCTCCTCCCATGCTGTTCCGTGTGTCTTCCTCGGCTTTGTCCCGGACGCGTCTGGTTGGCAGTTTTACCACGTCGCCTTGCGCCGTGTCCTCGCCTCTCAGGACGTCACCTTTGACGAGTCGGTACCCTTCTACTGTCTCTTCCCCTACCGCACTGCCCCGCTCCCTCCCCCGCCTCTCTTCCTTGTGCCAGGTGCTGCTGCAGTAGACCCCCTCCCCCCTCACGGTGCCGCTCCCTCACGTGTGTCCCAGGTAGACCTGGTTGAGCCGGTCGAGGGAGCTGTTGACTCTCGTCCTGCTCGGGGTACTGAGCCTGAGCGTGCGGAGCTCGGGGCTGCTGAGACAGGGGGTGCTAGCCTGGGGGTGCAGAATCTGGGGGTCCTGACCCTGGGGGTACTGAGCCTGGGGGTGTTGAGCCTAGGAGTGTGGAGCCTGCTTGTGCTGAGTCTGGGGGTGCTGAGCATGGGAGTGCTACGCTTGGAGGAGCTCTCTCCTCACAGCAGCTTCGTGAGTGGTACTTACAGTACTACAGCCTCAGGAGCGGTGCTTCTTGAGCTAGGGGTACTACTGGAGCTGGTGCTCGTGCTTCCTCGCCTCGGCGGGAGCCTGCCTCTCGCCCTGTATCACCTGTGTCCCGTCCTGAGTCGCCTGTTCGTACTACTTCCACCAGTCGCCGTACTCAGCGTGAGCGTCCACCACCAGTCCCTGGCACACACCGGATGTCACTTCGTCCCTCCACTGCTCCACAGCGTATCCCTCTGCTGTCTCCTCCTGAGTCCTCTCTTCTTGCTCTTACTGACCCTGTGTCTCTCTTCGTGCTGCCAGTCCTACTGTTACGCGTCTCCTTGCCACTGCTGTCACAGACCCTTCGTTTGAGTCCACTCCTGCGTCTGCTCCAGTTGCTGAGCTTGTCGACTTTGCTGTTCGCTGTCGTCTAGACTACGCTGCCATTCTTGTGGCTGCGTCTGAGTCTGTCTTTCCTCCGTCTGTCGGGGGTGAGTGTGCTCTTAGCACGGACGTCCTTGAGGACAGGCAGGAGGACCTTGAGTGTCTTGCAGCTGCTGCGCCCCATCTCATGTCGATGCGAGTTGCCCCTGAGGGAGACCCGGATGCACCAGATATCCCGACTCCTCGATCGTACGCTGAGGCGATCGAGGGTCCCTACTCCTCTCAGTGGCAGTCAGCCATGGACACAGAGATGGCTTCCTGGAAGTCCATAGGCACCTACGTCGATGAGGTTCCCCCACCTGGGGCGAACATCGTCAGTGGAAAGTGGATTTTCAAGGTGAAGCGGCCGCCGGGTTCTCCGCCTGTCTTCAAGGCGTGCTACGATGCTCGAGGCTTCAGTCAGCGAGTGGGAGTTGACTTCTTCCAGACCTTCTCCCCGACCCCGAAGATGACCACTCTTCGGGTTCTGCTGCACGTCGCTGCTCAGCGCGACTACGAGCTTCACTCTCTTGACTTCAGCACAGCTTTCTTGTAAGGCAGTCTGCACGAGGAGATCTGGCTACGCCACCCTCCTGGCTTCATTGAGTCGTTCCCTCCTGGTACCTAGTGGAGCCTCCGCCGGCCGGTCTACGGTCTCCGCCAGGCGCCACGTGAGTGGCAAGACACACTGAGGACTACTCTTGCGGCACTTGGGTTCTCTCCTTCTACTGCTAACCCGTCGCTGTTTCTACGCACCGACACTTCGCTGCCGCCGTTCTACATCCTCGTGTACGTCGATGACTTGGTCTTTGCTATAGCTGACACTGAGTCTCTCGCCCACGTGAAGTTGGAGCTGCAGAAGAGACACACGTGCACAGACATGGGTGAACTGCGCAGCTACCTTGGCTTGCAGATCACCCGGGACAGAGCACGCCGCACCATTACCCTCGATTAGCCATTTCCTTACTCTCCTAGCTGCTCCGCATCTCCCACAGACGGTCCGTACAGTCGATAGTAACAGTCTGTCATACAGTTGTTTTGTAGCATTTACGTTCTTAATCTCCCCGAGAAAGAAAGGCCCCGTCTTTCGCGGTTCACCCGAGTATCTAGTTAGCAGTGGCAGATAGACGATTTTATATTGTTAGTACCCCGTCTTTCCAACTTGCGCGTAGTTCTCGAACTAATCCCCTGTTTTGACTCCACGTGTCACATGCGGGAGATACATTACGTTTAGTATTTCAATCCATCCCATGTTTTGACCCCAACGTGTCGCGATTCGTCTCGCAAGACTACATCAGCCATTTCGTGATCGCGTAGAGAAATCTCGCAACGCCGACAGCTACTAGCGTCATAGGCGCTGCCGCCTCCCTGACGCTGTCGTGAAAAAGCGTTGCCTCCTGGACAGTACGATGGCTTCACACGGCGTAACCGCGAGTCGGGCCCTCTGTTTATTCGTGTCGCTTATCGCGTATGTCAGCGGCGCCGCCAGCCAAATGCTGACAGACGGCCAAGGTATATCATAGTCGCCAAACCGCCGCTCCCCTTTTCACCATCGTGAAAGTAAATCTGTGCTGAGACGTCTCTAAACAAATTTAATTTCACGTCGGCACCAGCCAAATGCTGACAGACAGCCAAAGTATATCGCCGAACCGACGCTCCCCTTTTCGCCTTCCCCGACCAGGGTTACACCCCTTTTCGCCGAACCGGAATATACCTTTTTGCCGACTCGGGGGAGGACTCGCTACTACCGTAGCGCTGTGACTTTTGATCATAGTAGCAGCCGTCTTCCCATCTGCTTTGTTCCTGTCGCATATCGCGTATGTTGGTTGCCTGCTGAGAGAATGGACGGTGGTAGCACAACAAACCGCGTATCAAGCTTGGCCAGTGCTGCACTCAGCTTCCGCAGAGAGTTTTTTTTCCCATCCCTGACGCGACAGCAGGGACGGCTCATCAGTTTAGGCTCCCTGCTCCCCTGCTCCCTGCTCCCCTGCTCCCTGCTCCCTGCTCCCTGCTCCCTCCCTCGCATCTCCTCGCAGTAAACCTGCTCATATCGTTCAAGGCGGCAGCGGGATTGACGGACAAGGGATGGAACATATCAGCTCCGCGGAACTGCCTTGATGGTGTGATAGCCATACCCTCCAGCTCTCCCTTCCCTTGCATCTCCTACCAGTAAACCTGCTCCTAAGGCGGCAACGGGTCTCACGGACAAGGGCTGGAACATATCGGCTCCACGGAACTGCAGTATGCCCTTACACTCCTGTTAATGCTGCTACTACCGCTGCTCCTTGCTCCTTGCTCCCTGCTCCCTGCTCCCTTCCCTTTCATCTCCTGGCAGTAAAGCTACTCCTATCGTTCAAGGCGGCATCGGGACTCACGGACAAGGGATGGAACATATCAGCTCCGCGGAACTGCAGCATGTGGAGCCGAATTAAGTGCAACGCGACGAGCGGCGAAATCACAACACTGTGAGCAGCGATAGTCTCGGCTTCGCCAAAGTTACCACTCCCGCCCGCGTTGCTTCCGTCGTTATTTGTTTGGCCCTTGCAACGAAACTCGGCGACGTTTTGTCTTGAGTTCTGACTGACTGACTGACTGTCCCATTATTGCTCTGCTTGCGAATGCCACCTGTTTAGCACGCTGCTACTCGTTTCGCTTTGATTTTTGTCTTTTCCTTGCAGATACATTGATGATGGCCCATCGGAGCCTTAATTTGAGGCGCCTCAAAACTCATTCCTCACTTTGCTTTGTTGTTTCCTTGCAGATACATTGACGATGGTTCCATTGGAGCCCTACCCGACATTGTCACACAATTCACTGCTCTCACATACCTGTGAGTTTGACTGGCCCCCTTACTGTCACAACTCCCTGCTTTCACAACCCTCCTGTTGTCACAATTCGCTGCTGCTCTCATGTCGCCCCTGTCCATCCCTCTCCATCATGTTACTTCATTTCTCTTTCGCCATGCCTGCTCTCCCCATTCCTGCAGTCATTTTCGCCCACAGCCATTTGAATATCTACTATGGCTTCACGCTGCCTCCCTCACTCCGATCGCTCCTTGTCTTACCTCTCTACCTTGAACCTCTCTGTCTACTCAGGAGCGTAACTCGATCGAAGGTGCCTACCACCATTGATGAGAAGATCTCAGCCATCAAGACAATGACCCAGCTGCGATACCTGTGCGTCCACTCCACCACACTGCACTGCACTCTACCGCACCGCACCGCATTCCACCGAACCGCACCGCACTTCACATCCTGCGCACGAATCTCCAGCCAGATCCTTTCGCAGCTCTCGTATGCATCTCAGAAAGCGTCCCTGGCTGACTGCTGTCTGTCCCCTCTGTCACCTGTCTATCATACCATGTGTATCTGCTTCCCTTCCTCTCATCTGTCTCACACAGGAGCCGATTTTTGAGTCGACTAAAAAATCGTCTCAGCGTCCCTGACTGACTGCTGTCCCCCCTGTCGCCTGTTTACCATGTGTGTCTCTGCCTCCCTTCCTCTTATCCCTCTCTCGCAGGAGCCTCGGTTCCAACTGGTTCTACTCTTCCATCCCTGAGTGGCTTGTGCAGCTGCCCCAGCTCCGCTACCTGTACGTGCACAGCACAGCCTTTCATGTTAGTGCCATAGGGTAACCTGGTAACCCTGCATTGTCTCCAACTGGTTCTACTCCTCCATCCCAGTGTAGTGTAGCTCGTGCAGCTGCCGCAACTGCGCTACCTGTACGTGCGAAGAGGGCACTGTCGTTGTTGCTGCAGTAGAGTCGCAGTTGATGAGTCACACTGTGGTTGTTACAGGGTAACCGCGTCATTCTACCTCTACTCACAGCGGCCTACTCCTCCATCCCCGCGTGGCTCGCCAGCTGCCCCAGCTCCGTTACCTGTGCGCGCACAGGGAGTCATGCCAGTGCCATAGGATAACCGTCTTTGGAGACGTCTTAAAAAACGTCAAAACTTTTGAGACGTCTCAAAAGTCGTGTGGCTCGCCAGCTGCCCCAGCTCCGTTACCTGTACGTGCACAGAGAGTCATGCCAGTGCCATAGGGTAACCCAGTAACAGCATGGTAACCCTGTGATTGTTACAGGGTAACTGTGTCATTCTACCTCCTCTCCCTTGGCCCCTGCTCTTACCTTCGCTTCCTGTCCCTTTTTTCCCCCTCCCCTTCTCACCCCACCCCACATTCCCCACTTTCTCCAGCCACCTGCCCTACAACTTTCTCACAGGCCCCATCCCCCCCATCACAGCCCCTCTCAGCTCATTTGACGTCACCAGCAACCTCCTCTCCCTTGCTCTCCTTTCTTATCTCTTCTCCCCCCTCTCCCCATCCCACCCTCCCCCCTTTTTCCTGCCCCACCCACCCACCCCTTCCCCAGTCACCTGCCCTACAACTTTCTCACAGGACCCATCCCCCCCATCACAGCGCCTCTCAGCTCCTTCGACGTCACCAGCAACCTCCTCTCGGGAACCTTCCCCCTCCGCAAAACGCCCATCAAGGCCTGCCTCGCCGCGGGAAACTGTCTGGGAGATGCGTCGGCGTGCGCAGTGGGGGCGGGGCAGCAGCGGGCGGACGTGGGCGACGGGTACTGTGCGGCGGTGGTGGGGGACTTGTGCCGCCCGGCTCCTGAAGCGGGGGAGACGTGGCAGGACCAGGTTGCTCTGCGCTGCTCATCCCGTGAGTTTGGGGTTCCTGAGTGGTTGGGTTGAGCTACTGGGGTAAGGGTGGTGGGGGGGGGACTTGTGCCGCCCGGCGCCTGAGGCGGGGGAGACGTGGCAGGACCAGCTGGCTCTGCGCTGCTCCTCCCGTGAGTTGAAATGGTGGGTGGGTTATTGGCTGGTGTATTGCCCAGGTACGGAGAGGGGCGCGGATGTGGGGGATGGGTACTGTGTGGCGGAAGTGGGGGAGACGTGGCAAGACCAGGTGGCTCTGCGCTGCTCCTACCGTGAGTTGGGGCTTATGGGTGGGCTGGTGGGTGCCTGGTGGGTGGGCTGGTGGGTGCCTGGTGGGTGGGCTGGTGGGTGCCTGGTGGGCGCCTGGTGGGTGCTTGGGCTACTGGTTGGGGGTATGAAGGGCAGCAGCAGGCTGGCTGGTGGGTGGGTAACGGCAGGTTTGACCCGTGCTGGATGCACCCCTCAGGGATGAACCCAATGCATACTGGATGCACCCCTCAGGGATGAACCCAATGCATACTGGATGCACCCCTCAGGGATGAATCCAATGCATACTGGATGCACCCCTCAGGGATGAATCCAATGCATGCTGGATGCACCCCTCAGGGATGAACCCAATGCAATCCAAAATGCCCGAATGCATTTTGAAATTCACTCAAAACCCATCTCTGCTGCTCTGTGCCTTGCCGTGTCTCACTGTGCGCTTCTCTCTGCCCCTTTCCCCCCTTCCCCTACCAGCGAGCATCATGTATGCCACCGATTCAATGGAACCTCTCGTGGATGAACCCGAACCCCCGATGGATGCTCCGAAAGAGGTGGAGCAGAGCAAGGCTCCTGAGGAAGAGGTGGAGTATAAACAAACCTATTCTCACAGTGTCTCACCTTGTTCTTCTCCCTCTCTCTGCCCCTTACCACCCCTTCCCACCCCTCCCCCTGCCAGCGAGCGTCATGTCCTCCACCGATTCAATGGAGCCTTTCGTGAATGAACCCGAACCACCCATGGATGCTCCGGAAGAGGTGGAGCAGACCAAAGGCCCAGAGGACGCCCCCGTTACAGGCACATCCGTTACAGACACATCTGACGGTACATCGGACGATTCATTTGACGGTTCTTCTACAGGCAGCGGCTCTGGAACACCAGTGGATACGAAATTTGTGCAGCCGGTGAAGGGGAAAGGGGTCAAGGGAAAGAATAAAGGCGGTGCAGCAAAGGCGTGCTCGTGCAAGAAGAGTGCGTGCAAGGCGAGCGAGATCTGCATGAATATGTCGGTTGGCAAACGGTGCAACGTCAAGTGTATGAAGAAGCTGTTTAAAGTTTAGTCGGTTGTATGGTTGGCTAGCACTGGGGTTTGGTATTTTTCCTTTTTGTTATTATTTATGAGAATGGGAAGACGCAGTTCGAGCTGCATATGAGATCTGCTGTGGCTGAGCTACACTGTATTATAATTTTATTTGTTGTGATTTTGTTTTTTTTTTTAACCTGAAAATTGAAAGGCTAGATTCTATAAACTGAACAATGGCAACTGGCCAGGAAAGGAAAGGGTAGAGGAATGATGAATGATAAATTAAACAAGTGTTGCTGTGTACACCTCTTATCGCGTACGCAAAACCAGAACCCACCACTGCACTCCCCACCCCATACCGTAGTGGGTCTCATCTCATCCTAGCCAAGTCTCGTTCCTCCTTGACATCGTTTTCCCGCCAAACGGGTTGTCAGAATGAACCTTTTGAACCGAGCCGCTTCGTTCTCACACCCACAGGCCATCACTTGCTTCCCATGCGAGTCAAGCGCGGCCGTCGCGCGGAGTTCGTCCCTTCATTCCCGCTCGAGCTCGCTAATCCGTTCCTTGCAATGCGGTTCGCTGGTTCCTACTAGGCACAGTTCCTCCCTGAGTGTAGTTTCCCGCCATTCGCGGCGCGATTCGCGGTTCATGGCGGCGAGAAATAGCATCGACAGCAGCGGGGGCAGCGAAGCAGGCGAGGGTCAAGCGGAGGAGCGATCAGGATCGGACGGTTCACAGAGCCTCGCGACGCGGATCCTTCATTATAAGGGCGCGGACTTCGATCCGTACGGTGCCGTCAGCACTCCCATCTACCAAACGGCTACATTCCGTCAGGTTAAACTGTGGCTCCGGGAGTAAAAGGGGAAAACCGGGGTGGGGAAGAGGAGAGAATGATGGAGTGGGGGATCGCATATGCGCATTGGCAACTGGAACATGGGAGTTGAGCATTTGAACTTCTGAAGATTTAAATAGACTGAGCTGAGCCATGGGAGTTGAGCATTTGAAGATTTGAGCATTTGAAGATTTGAGCATTTGAAGATTTGAGCATTAAAATAAGTGCGGCCATGAGAATAGTTGATCAATTGAAGATCATCTGACTAACTTGGCGATTGCATTGTAGAAAACGACACGTCCTATTGGATTCATGCTGCTAGCACTTCATCCATTTTCATCCGAATTCATGCTGCATTTATTCACCCTGCTTTTATCCGAGCCTTCCCTGTCCCTGTTTGTAATGCGACAGGTCTCTGCGACAGAGAACAATGCCTACGACTACACTCGCAGTGGTAACCCTACGCGGGATGCACTCGAGAAGTGAGTGTGGAGTGAGTGTGGCGAGAAGCGAGTATGGAGTGAGTGAAGAGAGAGTGAAGATTGTCAAATGAGTGTTGAGTGTGGCGTGAGTTTGAAGTGATAAGAGAGTTGTGTGGGAGAGGGAGGTTACCTGTCATATTTGTTTCCAACATACTTCTTCTCTCCCTGGCTTCCCGACAATACCTTTCCACTTGTCCCTCTCTCCCCACGCTTCTCCCCTCCTGCAGGCTGCCAGCAGAGGTTAAAATGGGTGCATCGTGCCTTTGCCTTTCCTGTAAATGCGTGCTGCTCTGTCTTCTCTTCCTTCCCAACCCCTCTCCACCGTTCTTTCACCCCGTTTCTCCCCTCATGCAGGCTGTTAGCAGAGGTGAAGGGGGCGCATCGTGCCTTTGCCTGCTTCGTCTCCTCTTTCTTCTCAACCCCTCTCCACCGTTCTTTCTCCCTGCTTCTCCCATCCTACAGGCTGCTAGCAGAGGTGGAGGGGGCGCATCGTGCCTTTGTCTTCAGCACCGGAATGGCGGCACTTGCTACCAGAGGTGGAGGCGCATCTTGCCAGTGCCGCACTTCCCAGCAGCACCTCTCTTCTTTTCCAATTTGTCTCTCTCTGTGTTTTTCTCTCCTGCGACAGGTTGCTAGCGGAGGTGGAGGGGGCGCATCGTGCTTTTGTCTTCAGCACCGGGATGGCGGCACTTGCTGCATCCACCAGGCTGGTTACCACCGGTGAGATCTCGTTACGACTGGTGCAATCCGTTACCACCAGTTGAATCTCCTTATTGCTGGCTATATTTCGTTTCCACTGGTGTGTGATGTGATTTCGCTACCACAAAATCCAAGTTTTCGTTACTTCTCGCGAGGTTTTCCTCCCGTTGCCTCCCTCCCCCCCTCCCTCCGCTGTCCTGCACCGGGCTCTGACATTTTCACATGGGACTTTCAGGTTCTTCCATTGTAGCGAGTGACGGCATTTACGGAGGCACAGACCGGCTGCTGTCAAGAGAGGGCTGGTACCAGCCCTTCGCCTCCCTGCCTGCCCCTCGTGTCCCCCCTCCCTCCACACGGCAACCCCCTTCCCTTCAGGTTCCTCCATTGTGGCGGGTGACGACATCTACGGAGGCACCGACTGGCCGCTCTCAAGAGTGGGATGGGACAATGTCAATGATGTTGCTGGTTCATCCCCCCACCCCCCACCCTCCAACCCCCACCCTCCACCCCCCACCCCTTTCAGGTTCCTCCATTGTAGCGGGTGACGACATTTACGGAGGCACGGACCGGCTGCTCTCAAGAGTGGTGCCTCGTGCAGGTGTTGCTGTCAGGTGGGTCCTCTGTTGCCCTCAGGTGGGTCTTCTGTTGCTGTCAGGTGGGTGTATTGTTGTTTTCAGGTGGGCCCTCTGTTGCTTCCAGGTGATCTCTTCGCTGCTCTCTGGTTCAGCTTCCACTCTTCGGCCCTACTTCATGCTCCCTCGCACCAGGGGGGTAGACACAACGGACCTACAAGCAGGGAGGGTGGCACTGCAGCATGGAAAGCCCCAGCAACCAACCAACCAACCATCCCTCGTTTTCCCCTCTCCCTCTCCCTTTGCTGGTCGTTTATGGAGAGCCCCACCAACTCCCGTTCGTGCCTCATTTTCCTCACCATCCCTCCCTCTCCCTGCTCTTCCCCCACTTGGCGTGTGGACACAACGGACCTAGACGCAGTGAGGGCGGCAGTGGGAGAAGACACCAGGCTGGTTGTTATATAGAGCCCCACCAACCCCTGTCCATCCTCTCATACACACCATCCCTCTTGTCCCTCTCGCCTTCTGCTCCCTCCCCACCAGGCGCGTGGACACAACGGACCTAGACGCAGTGAGGGCGGCAGTGGGAGAAGACACCAAGCTGGTCGTCATGGAAAGCCCCACCAACCCGCGCATGATGATCAGCGATATCAGGGTGAGTCAGAGCACCGCACTGTGCTGTACTGCACTGCACCCCACTGGACTGCACTGCACTGCACTGCGCTACACCCCACTGCACTGCACTGCACTGCACTGCACTGCACTGCACTGCGCTACACCCCACTGCACTGCACTGCTCTGCGATGTACCACACTGTGCTCCTGGACCACCGGTCTCCGTCTCTCTGCTGGTCCTAATGGAAAGCCCTACCAACCCTCTCATGATGAAAGCAATGCCTCTTCTCCCTCCCTCCTTCTCTATCTCCAATCTCTCCCTCTCTTCAGGCCATAGCAGAGATCGCTCACTCAGTGGGTGCGCTGCTACTAGTCGACAACAGCATCATGTCTCCGGTGCTCTCGAAGCCGCTGCAGCTGGGTGCAGACATTGTGATGCACAGCGGTACCAAGTTCATCAGCGGGCATAGCGATGTGATGGCTGGGATTCTGGCTGTGAACGACCCAGAGTGAGTGATTGAGTGTCTGAAGGACGTATAGTTGTGCACACAGACGCACGCACCCCAGTCACTGTCGCAGCCGCTGCAGCTGGGAGCAGACATTGTGATGCACAGCGGCACCAAGTGCATCAGCGGGCATAGCGACGTGATGGCTGGGATACTGGCTGTCAACGACCCAGAGGGAGTTTGCGATACGCACTCACACGCTCACAAACTACTACCCACTCGCACCAACTTACACACACACACACACACACACACACACACACACACACACACACAAACTACTACCCACTCTCACACCAACGCATGCACACCCACGAAACGAACACCGTCTGCTCTCGCTGCAGCCGGGAGCACACAGCCTGGCTACCGAAACACACTTGGTGCAGACAGCCTGGCTAACGAAACACTGTCGCATGAATCCTGATGAAACACGCATCAAAGGATTCATGGGACAGCTCTAAAGGTAAAACATGACCAGTGTATGGACAGGAAATACATAAGGGTGACAAATGTGATAATTCGGGGTGTACGGTAGAAGGGAGGAATATATACAGTAAATACAGCCACGAGGGTCGAGGGTGAGTAACCCAACGCCCAAGTGACGCAAGATTGGGTCAAGGCTGACTGGAGCGACTCGGGGGAGGGGTCACGAGAAATGTCCAAGGGTGGAAGAGGTTCGCGCGCTTCGGAGTAGATCTCGATGCTGAGCAGGGGTAGCAGCCCAGGAGGAGAAGGGACCCTACGGGAAGGGAAGTGATAAGCCTAGGTAGGGAACCTGAGCTGCCACTCTTGCTTGTCTTCTTGAACTCGTGGGAAAGTCTGTATGCTTGCTAGTGAAGAAAAGATTTCACTGCTTTATGACTAGATCTGCGATAGGGAAGCCAAGCAACGAGCGATTAAGCCAGGCGCTGAGAGAAGAGATTGTGGCTTGAAGAGTAATTCCAAGCACCTTCTTACAAGGGACGGGCCCAGAAGCACTTATCACCTACAGACGGAGGAAGGAGAAGAAGGACCAGCAAGAGGTGGTGACACGATCGGAAGGGTAACAAGTTCCGGAAGCTGGGTGGCAGAGTCCGAGTGCGAAGGGAGGACCGGAAGTGTGCGACAACACACTTGGTGCAGACAGCCTGGCTAACGAAATATACTTGGTGCCGACAGCCTGGCTAACGAAATATACTTGGTGCCGACAGCCTGGCTAACGAAATATACTTGGTGCAGACAGCCTGGCTAACGAAATATACTTGGTGCAGACAGCCTGGCTAACGAAACATACTTGGTGCAGAACTATTATTTAGGCGCCTCAAAAATCGTCTGCAGCTGAAATATTTCAATGCAAGCAGACAGCCTGGCTAACGAAATACACTTGGTGCAGAACGCAGAGGGGAGGGTGCATTTTGAGGCGCCTCAAAATGCACCTCAATGCAAGCAGACAGCCTGGCTAACGAAATCTACTTGGTGAGGGCTGCCTTCAATATACTTGGTGCAGAACTATTATACAGGCGCCTCAAAAATCGTCTGCAGCTGGGAGCAGACAGCCTGGCTAACGAAATATACTTGGTGCAGACAGCCTGGCTAACGAAATATACTTGGTGCAGACAGCCTGGCTAACGAAATATACTTGGTGCAGACAGCCTGGCTAACGAAATATACTTGGTGCAGAACGCAGAGGGGTCAGGGCTGAGATGAGCCCCTTGAAGATCTCTCCTATCCCGATCACCAACTCCCCTTCCCCTTTTCTTTCCCCCTTTCCTTCCTCCTTTCCCCCCATCCCCCCCCCAGCCTTGCGAAAGAGATCTACTTTGTGCAGACCGCGGAGGGCTCAGGGCTGAGCCCTTTTGGATTTTCCTCCTATCCTTTATCACCAACTCCTCTTTTCCTTCCCTTCCCTCCTCCTTTCCCTTCCTTTCCTTTCCCTTCCTTTCCTTTCCTTTCCCTTCCTTTCCTTTCCTTTCCCTTCCTTTCCTTTCTCCCCCCAGCCTAGCGAAAGAGATATACTTTGTGCAGAACGCAGAGGGATCAGGGCTGAGCCCCTTCGACTGCTGGGTGTGCCTTCGCGGGATCAAGACCCTGCCACTACGCCTGGAGCGGCAGCAGGTGTGTGTGAATGTGTGTGCGTGTGGGATGGGAGTGTGTTGGTTAGTGTGTGTGTGTGTGTGTGTGTGTGTGTGTGTGTGTGTGTGTGTGTGTGTAGTTGAGAGAGGAAGGGTTCAGGGCTGAGCTGAGCCCCTTTGATTGCTGGGTGTGCCTTTGCGGGATCAAGACCCTGCCTCTGCGGTTGGACAGGCAGCAGGTGGGAACGTGGACAGGCATGTGTGTGCGTGTGTGTGTGTGGATGTGGGGGTTCGGTGGAAGGGGACATGTGAGTATGTGTGTGTGTGGATGTGGGGGGTAGGTGGAAGGGGACATGTGAGTATGTGTGTGCGTGGATGAAGGGGGGGCTGAGCCCTTTTGACTGCTGGGTGTGCCTTCGGGGAATCAAGACCCTGCCACTGTGTTTGGAGAGGCAGCAGGTACATAGGAATGTACTTGTGCATGTGTATGGGTGTTCTATGTCTCTCCCCTCTTTCAAGCTCAACCTTCCTCTGGTTTTTTTTTTTTTTTTTTTTTTTTTGCACAGGTCAATGCGAAGAGAGCAGCCGGGTTTTTCTAGAGGATGTTCTGTATTTATCCTCTCTTTCAGTATCCATGCTGTGTTGACACAAGCGCGATGGCCTTGCACTGTCTTGTTGTGTGCAGGCCAACGCACAGAGAATAGCCGAATTCCTGGACGGCCATGCACGAGTAGAAAGGGTGTTCTATGCCGGTCTGCCTACCCATACGAACCGTGACCTGCACTTCTCCCAGGTGCTTTCCCGGCCTCTGCCAGTCACACTGATGGTCTCTTTCTCTGTATCTCTCACAATCACACGGTGCATGTTTGTTTCTGGCATCTCCTCTTTTCGCGAGTGAGAGAGTGTTCTATGCCAGTCTGCCCTCCCATACCAACAGCAACCTGCACTTCTCCCAGGTGCTTCCCCAGCCTAGGCCATTCACACCCATGGTCTCTCTCTGTCTATCTCTCTATCACACACGGTGCATGATTGTTTCTGTCAACTCCCGCACCCGCGAGTAGTGAGGGTGTTCTATGCCGGTCTGCCCTCCCATACCACCCGTGACCTGCACTTCTCCCAGGTGCTTTTCGGACCTAGGTCACGAGTCAGGTGATTTACTAGCCCAAGTCTGTAGCCAGGTGTTTCCCCAGCCTAGGTCACAGCCCTGGTGTCTTCACACAGTACACTGCGTTGAGTGTTTTCTCGCAAAGCACCTGTGCATAAGGAGGTGTGCTCTCTTCTACACCGGTTGTGAGCCATCGCGGAACTTCAGCGAGCGCACTGTTCTATGCTGGTCTGCCTTCTCTTGCCAACCAACCACGCGCTGCACTTCTCCTGCACTTTCAGGTGCTTCTCTTGGTGCCTCTTTCAGGTGTTCTCCCAGGTGCTTATCTCTGGTGCTTCACTCGCAACTTCCAAGTTTTCACTCACTTGCCTCTCCGACCAGACATTGTACTTCCATTCTATTTCACCTCTTTTAACTGGTGTTTTCCGTTTGTTCGCTTTCATTCTTTCTGGTCTCTTTTGTTTTCGTTCGCTTTTCTCTCATCTGTATGTTTCGCAGGCCAAGGGTGCGGGGTCAGTGCTCAGTTTCACGACAGGCAACATCAACGCGTCGAAGCACATTGTTGAGACAATGAAGCTTGCTAACATTGCTGTCAGCTTTGGTAAGATGGGATACGAGCACTGTTGGGTGGGTGGGATGAGAGCAGTGTTGGTCGAAGTGAGAGCAGTCTTTGGGAGGAATCCCGTTGAGATGAACCACTCTGTTAGCGTTGGTAAGATGAGATGCGAGCGGGGTTTGGTGGCATCTGTTATTTCTTGAATCTGACAGCATGGTGATTGCATTCTGTCGCGACTACTGTTCACACATCTCCCTACTGTGGCTGCATTGCATGTGTGATTGTACTGCATGGTGGCGTGTGACTGTAACGAGGGGGCTTGCAGGCAGTGTGGCGACGTCCATCAGCCTGCCGTGCTTCATGTCGCATGCCAGCATACCAGCGGATGTGCGCAAGGAGCGAGGCCTGGTTGAAGATCTCATTCGCCTCTCTGTAAGCATGCCCGGTCTCTAATCACTCCCCTCTCTCGCCTTCACACTCCCCCCATCTTTAAGCTTGCAGTCTTCGTTGCCATTCTATGATTGATTGCAACAAAAACGACACTATTTGATTGTTTGCAACCTGTTTTATGACAGGTGGGCATTGAGGACGTGGATGACCTTATTGCCGATTTGGGGAATGCCATTGATACAGCTCCTTTCTCTTGATGAAGACATGAACACGAGAAAACAAGCGCACTTATGTTTCACTCGTTTGCATGATAGAATTTATGTGCACCGCAGAGTTACCATGCACTCTGATTGCATGCTATCGAAAAGCCTGGTTTCCTAGGATGACTATATCTTCCTATTCAAATCAAATGAAATCATTTTCTTCAAAATTTTTAGATAATTTTGTTGTGAAAAGATTTTATACACTTGTCCGCTACAGCTGGCAGTGAAATGGGTAATCTTCATGCAAGCCTATCACTCTGCTTCGATGATGTCAGAATGGCGTGTCTGATGTTCCCACGAATCTTCCATTGTCCCAACCCGTTTTGCGGCTGGCACGGCTCGCTGTATTTCGTTCTCGATAACCCGGAAGATTCGGGCAGTTTATACCGCCGTCTGAACTTGCGGTTCTTTACTGTTCGATTGGGCTCTGAAAGTGGGGATCAAAACCAAGACGCTTCTTGTTACATGACTGATTAAACGCTGGTCAGTTGGCTAAGTACAGAACCTGAATACTAAAATATATACCAATTGAGAAACATTTCAGCCTGGAACCATTGAGAGTTCCCCGCCATCCAGCTCCTTGTTTTGCCATGTCTTGTCTCAAACATCAGGAAAAAAGAGCAGGATCCTCAGCTTACCTCATTTATATTCCTCTTCAGAACTCCTCACCGCAACTCACCTCACCACACCAGAGCATAGCAGCTTGTGTTTTGACTTCCTGATCACGTCAGTGCAGCACCCCCCAAACAGCAGGCAGACACAGAGCACCCCACAGGAGTAAACAGGGAATCTAATTTGTGGGAATACTAATTTCGCCGGCCTTTTTGGTTTCTATCCACCATAGACCTAGCTCCAGCAAGTTACCTACGAGCCTTCGTCGTCGTTTCGGGCAAGTGGTTTCGCAATGGTTCTTGTGGGTGTTGTCTAAGCCGCGTTTTTTGGTTACGCCCTAGTCTTAGGATCACGGCGTATAACCTTTTTCGTTTCTTATTCTCAAAAGGACCGGTTTATAGCATGCGAACGCGCCTCCACCGTCGATTTCAACTTCATCGCTTCATCGCCGCTCATGGAGGAATTTATAGAAGCGATCTGGCCGCACCTCTTCCCGTCCTGGTTCGAAGCATTAACCGCGTTAATGGCAGCCTCGTTTGTAGCCTTTCTCCTATATCTCACCCAACCCGAAGGCAGCGGGGAGAATCCCTCCCCAGACGACGCTTCGGCCGCGTCTGCCGGGAAAACCGGCGTGAATGGCGCGGAGGAAGAGGAGGAGGCGAACTGGGAGGAGGCGAGCCGACGTGTCAGGGAGCAGCAAGCTCGCGCGTTACTCGCGGCGCCGGATCCGCTCACCGCCGCTCTCGCAATCCCCGTGCGCCAGCTGGCAGCCGTGGATTCGAAGAGAATGGCCGCGGTTCCGGTTACCGCCCAGCCGCTGCTAGGACTAAGTTCTAAGGAGGTAGTTAAGAAGGGGATCGGGTCTAGAACGCGGCCCAGGCAGGATATAATGCAGTTAGCTGTGGCGACGGGGGTGGGGGGAACTGGTGGAGGGGGGAAAGGGGGCGTGGATGGGGGGCTGGTAGGAGGAGGGAAGGGAGGGGTGGAGGTAGGAGGGAGGAGAGGAGGAGGGGATGGGAGAAGTGCGAGTGGGCCTTTAGCTGCTTCGACTAGAGCCGCTGCTGGTGCTGTTGCGGCTGCAGCGGGTGGGAACATCCAGGACGAAACGCTTATACCCGTGGTGAGTTTGTCAATAAGGGGTACTACCGTCGTATTATATATTTTATTCCTCGTGCCCTGCTCTCCTCTTTCCCCCGCGGGCTACGTTTCCTTCCTCTCCACCTTTCTGCCGAATTGACCTTTTTTACCTTTTTTCCTACTTCTTTCTTTCTTTCCATTATTTTGTAGTGTCATTTTCGTGTGGAATTCTGGCGCTCACCATGCTGCATGTCCAGATTTAAATCAAAACCCTTTGCCTCCCATGATCTGTCCTCACTGTAATTTTCTCCCCGATATTTATGTATGTGTGATGTTTAGTTTTATATCTGTCTTCCATATTGTCTAAACCCCAGTCAAATTCAAAACGCTTCGCCTCTCAACCCCCCAGCCACCCTCCTCTCCCGGACCCCTCCCGCGGCGGTCCCCCAGGCCATAATCCCCAGCCAGTCCCTGTCTTGCGCGGACACCCTGCCCCCTGCGCCAGTCCCCCTTAGCACAGCAGTCTCCGCTGCTCCCGCTTCCGCCACTGCAGGCGGGGATGGGGAGGGGGGAAGGGGTGCCCTGGGGGGGCATACGCGCACAGGAGGGTCCCTGGGATACCTGTCTCCACTGAATAAAGGTGCTGCTGTTACTACTAATTCTGGTGCCGCTGGTGATTTAATCAACGGCCCAGATTTGGCCAGTGGTGGAACTCCTGACAGGGGAGCAGAGAAGGGGAGGCGGCCGGAGGGGATCCAACGGTCAGTGTCGGACACGGCAGCGATCTCAGCCGGATCAACGGCTGGTGGCGCTGCGTTTTCTGCTGCAAGAACAGGGGGAGGAGCAGGGGGAGGCACAAGGGGGGAAGGGGGGGGGAGGGGGGATTGGCGGAGTAGGTGTGAAGGTGGAAGTAGCTGCAGAAAGGGCTGTGTCTCCTGTGGCGCCTCAACCCATGATCTATGAAGTGAAGGTGAGTTCTGAAGGGGAATTGAGTTTCGAAGTGAAAGTGAGTTGTGACGTGAAAGTGAGTTTTCAAGTTTGTTTTCGAATGAAATGAAAGTGATTTTCTCAACCCCCCCTTCCCTCCTCTCCCCACCCCAAGGTCGATCTGCCAGCTGTCAAGAACCTGCCGGCTGCAGATATCAGCAGCACTGTGGATCCCGCACCCCTCATCCCCCAATTCTGAACCTCCTCGTCCTCCCCCTCCTGTTCCCTTCCGCCTCCCCCTCCCCCCTCCCCCCTTCCCTCCTCTCCCCAAGGTCGATCTGCTAGCAGCAATGAACCTGCCGGCTGCAAATATCAGCAGCACTGCGGATCCCGCACCCCTCATCCCCCAATTCCGTTCCTCCTCCTCCTTCCCCTCCTGTTCACTTCCGCCTCCTCCTCCCCCCTTCCCCCGCTCTTCCTCCCAAAGGTCGATCTGCCAGCTGCCAACATCAGTGGCACGGCGGATCCTGCATCATGTCCCAATCCCCCTCTCCCCCCCCCCCCCCCCCCCCCCCCCCCTCTTTCCCTCCCCTCCTCTTAAAGGTCGATCTGCTGGCGGCTAAGAACCTGCCAGCTGCCAACATTAGCGGCACAGCAGATCCCTACGCCATCGTTTCTTGTGGAACAGAGCGGAGATTCAGGTGTGTGTGCTGCTTGCATGGGCGTGTGGGTGAGATGTGTGCACGCATGTGTGTGTGGGGGGAGAAGGGGGGGGGGGGGGGCGGGGGGGAGGGGGGAGGAGGGAGGGGAGGGATTCGTGCCTGTGCCTCTCTCTCCCCCCCGGTCTACCCCAACTCCTGCTCCGCCCACGTCCCTTCAAAATGATGCCAACGCTTCCTGCCACACCCCACTCTGTCATGTCATCCCCAGTTCCCGCAATCCCATGTGGGCAGAGGAGTTTTAATCTGTGCTGCACAATCCCGGACCGACACCCTCCGCCGTCCACTTCTCACCTCTTCCCAACCCTCTCCCAATGCTGCGCCTGTCCTCTCCGCCCCACTCTAGCTCCGTCTTCCCCTCCAGTCCTCCAACAGTGTGTAGTAAGCCGATTTTTAAGTCGACTCTAAAATCCGTCATCCCCCCAAGTCCTCCAACAGCCCCATGTGTGGGCGGATGAGTTTTGCGCCGGTGCTGCACGGTTCCTCACACTCTTCCCCTTTCCCATCCCCTCTCACCCACCCTCTCTGCCCCACACCAGCTCCCGCAATCCCATGTGGGCGGGAGAGTTTTGCTTCTGTGCTGAACAGTCTCACGCACTCTCCGCCATCCCCTTTTCCACCTCTTCCCAACCCTCTCCCAACCCCTTTCTGCCCCACACCAGTTCCCGTCATCCCCAGCTCCCGCAATCCCATGTGGGCGGAGGAGGTTCTCTTCTGTCTGCTGATGCATAGTCCTGACTCCGTAGCACTCCTCTCCACCCTTCTATGCCTCTCCCACGTGTAGAGAGGGTGTTTTTGGGACGTCTCAAAAACACCCTCTCTACACGGAGCACTCCTCTCCGGCCTTCCATGCCTCTCCCAGTGCCTCTTTTATCCTCTCTGCCCCACACCAGTTCTGTCATCCCCAGCTCTCGCAATCCCATGTGGGCGGAGGAGTTTCGCTTCTTTGCCCCCTGCCTGCCCGCGCTGGTGAGTGCTGTGCCCACTCTTGAGGCGCCTCAACAGTAGATCCCATCCCATGTGAACGGAAGAGTTTCGCTTCTTTGCCCCCTGCCTGCCCGCGCTGGTGAGTGCTGTGCCCACTCTTGAGGCGCCTCAACAGTAGATCCCATCCCATGTGAACGGAAGAGTTTCGCTTCTTTGCCCCCTGCCTGCCCGCGCTGGTGAGTGCTGTACCCACTCTTGAGGCGCCTCAACAGTAGATCCCATCCCATGTGAACGGAAGAGTTTCGCTTCTTTGCCCCCTGCCTGCCCGCGCTGGTGAGTGCTGTGCCCACTCTTGAGGCGCCTCAACAGTAGATCCCATCCCATGTGAACGGAAGAGTTTCGCTTCTTTGCCCCCTGCCTGCCCGCGCTGGTGAGTGCTGTGCCCACTCTTGAGGCGCCTCAACAGTAGATCCCATCCCATGTGAACGGAAGAGTTTCGCTTCTTTGCCCCCTGCCTGCCCGCTCTGGTGAGTCGCTTTTTGAGTCGACTCTAAACGAGTTTCACTTCTTTGCCCCCTGCCTGCCCGCGCTGATGAGTCCAGTGCCCGCTCGTGCGTTTGTGCCCACTCGTGCATTTAGACGTCCTCAAAACTAGCTTACGTGGTGTTACTTTTGAGATTTCTCACAAGTAACATGACTCAAAGCTAGCTCACGCATACCTACGATTGGGACACAGAACACATACATACTTCCAAGAACACAAAACTTGGAGCAGCCTCCTTGGTTCGTGGCTTTCATGTGCTTATGCTGTGGTGTGTGTGCGTGTGCGTGTGCACGCACATGTTGTGTGCACGCACATGCTGTGTGCACGCACATGTTGTGTGCACGCACATGTTGTGTGCACGTTCATGCGTGTGACCGCACGCAGGCATACTTTTGAGGCGCCTCAAAAGACGTTCATGTGTGTGTGACCGCACGCAGGCATCAGTGCGCACGTACGATTGGGACATCATATCCAAGAACGTAGAGCTCGGTGCGGCGTCCCTTACTCATTGCTTGTTATGTGTTTGTGCTGTGGTGTGCGTGCGTGTGTGTGACCGCATGCAGGTAGCAGTGCGCACGTATGATTGGGACATCATATCCAAGAACGTAGAGCTTGGTGCGGCTTCCTTGCTGGTGGAATCGAAGGAGATTCTTTTTGGGCTGACTAGACTGAGTCGTTCTTTGTGTGTTTGTGTGCGTGTGACTGTGTCTGTATGGAATCGTCCACGCAGGTATCAGTGCGCACGTACGATTGGGACATCATATCCAAGAACGCAGAGCTCGGTGCGGCGTCCCTGCTGGTGGAAGGAGAGGCTCTGCCCTTCACCGCCTGGTACCCCCTTGACAAAGGCATGGGGCAGGTGAGAACTGGGGCAAGTGAGGACTGGGGCAGGTGAGGACTGGGGCAGGTGAGGACTGGGGCAGGTGAGTGAGTGATCCTTATACTTTCTGTGAGCTTTTTTTATAATTCTCAAGGCACACATCACCCCTGATGGTGGAGGGAGAGGCTCTGCCCTTCACTGCTTGGTTGGTACCCCTTGACAAGGGCCTGTGGCAGGTGATGGCATAGGCAGGTGACTGAATTGTTTTTATACTGCGCGTTTTTCCAGGCGTTTATCTGGTTTGCCAGGGGAAAAGCGCCCAGCTACTCCACACGTTCCCCTCCTTCGCCTCTTTCTCTTCTCTGCCTTATTTCGTTCTTGCAGGTGTGCTTGCAGCTGCAGGTGACAGCAGTGCCAAGGAATAAAGCTGACAGGTACATGCGATTCCTCCCGTTCCGCCTGTCCTGTGCTGTGCTGCCCCGATCAGTTTATCTGCTGCGTTCTTCACTAGTGTGTGTGTGTGTGTGCGCGCGCGCGCGTGTGCGTGTGCGTATGAGTGTGTGCGTGTGCGTGTGCGCGTGCGTGTGCTATGCCTATGCGCCGGTGAGAATTTCCAAAAGTGACTCTTCCTTCTGATTGCATGAAATGATTCATGCATCCGACTGTGTCTCTCTCCTGCCTGCATTCCTTGCTGCTGCGTTCCTCCTTGTATGCTTTCCAAGCAGCCCCTCAAGTATCGACCTTGTCTCCCGCCCCCATACCACCCTTTTTCTTATCCCGCTCTCCCCTCTCCCCTCACGCCAAACCAACTGCCTGCAGCACGGCAGCAAAGGGAGCCGCCATAAGTTCGTCCCGCCTGCGCCGCCTCTCCCAACAGCCCACCAGCGCCTGTGCGGGGGACAAGCAAGAGGGGGAGGCTTTCGAAGGGGAGCGGCCAGAGCAGCAGCAGCAAGAGCAGGAGGCAGGGAGGGGAACGGAAGTGCGGTTGAAGCCGGGACCACTGCAGACGATCTTCGGCCTGCCTCCAGATGAGGTGCGTTTCCTTAAGCGCCTCTCAAAGTGGTCTTATGAGGTGCCCGAGAAGTGCGGTTACAGCTGAACGTGGTCTTATGAGGTGCCCGAGAAGTGTGGTAAAACCCGGAACGCTGCAAGCGATCGTCGGCCTGCTTCCCAATGAACTTGCAGTCAAGGCTGTCTGTAACATCTATTATCAGAAACATGTTCCAGGACCGAGCCAGGATTTAGCCAGGGCCGAGCCAGGATTTAGCCAGGGCCGAGCCAGGATTTAGCCAGGGCCGAGCCAGGATTTAGCCAGGGCCGAGCCAGGACCGAGCCAGGACCGAGCCAGGGCCGAGCCAGAGCAGAGCCAGAGTCGAGCCAGGTCAGCAGGCTCTTCTCGCGTGCGCTGGAGCGATTGTTCCATTGTTCCTCTACTGCGGCGGCATGTTCCTCTCGGGGTCGCTCTTGTGCTACCACTCCACCGTCTTCTCCAAAGAATCTCTCTGTGTGCATTCCTTTTATGCATTGCATGGCAGGTCATTCGGCACTCCTTCTCATGTGCGCTGGAGCGGTCATTCCTCTACCATGGCCGCATGTTCCTCTCAGGGGCGCACCTCTGCTTCCACTCCAACGTCTTCTCAAAGGAACTGACCGTGTGCATTCCATACCAAGACATTGAGGAGGTGAGGTGGTGGGCAGGTGGAGAGGTGTGAGAAGCAATGTTTTAAACGGGATGGGAATAAGAATGGCATAGCTTACACCTGTGCTTCCACTCCAACGCCTTCTCCAAGGAGCTGTTTGTGTGCATTGTATACCAAGACATTGAGGAGGTGAGGTGGTGGGCAGGTGGAGAGGTGTAAGGAGCAATGTTTTAGAGGGAATGGGAATAAGGATGGGAGTGCTTAGCGAGCTTGCTGTTGAACTTATTTCGAGGGGTTATAGAGTTGTTTCTATGACCACCGAAATAAGTTCAACAGCAAGCTCGCTAAGCACTGATCTAATAAAACCTGTGATCAAAGCGGCTAGATATGGATTGGTGTTCGCGTTAGGCTGATAAGGTTCATAAAACCCTGTTCGCGTGTTAAAAGAAGGTTTAGGTAAGAAGTACTACGCAAGTGTGCACAGAAACCACGTGGGTTCTTTCATCAAAGAGGAATACGCCGCCATAGCTGTGTAGCTCGTCTACCTCGTTCTGGAGCCGGATTCATTCCCCGTGAAGTACATATATCTCTCACTAGATGAGGCCAACTGGGCGCGTAAGTATACGCGTCGTAATAAGTTCAACAGCAAGCTCGCTAAGCACTCCCATCCTTATTCCCATTCCCTCATGAAACAGTCAGCTGTGCTATATGCGCGCCCAGTTAGGGATGAAACGTCTTCGCCCTTTGCTCATCCCTAACTGGGCGCGCATATAGCACAGCTGACTGTTTCATGAGGGAATGGGAATAAGGATGGGAGTGCTTAGCGAGCTTGCTGTTGAACTTATTACGACGCGTATACTGACGCGCCCAGTTGGCCTCATCTAGTGAGAGATATATGTACTTCACGGGGAATGAATCCGGCTCCAGAACGAGGTAGACGAGCTGCACAGCTATGGCGGCGTATTCCTCTTTGATGAAAGAACCCACGTGGTTTCTGTGCACACTTGCGTAGTACTTCTTACCTAAACCTTCTTTTAACACGCGAACAGGGTTTTATGAACCTTATAAGCCTAACGCGAACACCAATCCATATCTAGCCGCTTTGATCACAGGTTTTATTAGATCAGTGCTTAGCGAGCTTGCTGTTGAACTAGGGATGAGCAAAATCCCGAACGCCTGTTCGGTTGGCCTCGAACATGTTCGAGGCGAACCGAACAGACATTTTTTTTTGCCTAAATCGTTCGAGGCGAACATGTTCGGTGTTCGGCCGAACATGTTCGCCGTTCGCCATTGATTTTTGGCTAAGGGAATTCGAACATGAACGCGTTCGTGTTCGAATTGGGTGCCCCGCGAACACAAAAGTGTTCGCGTCAAAATTGGCCGCGACCAGTTTTAGGTCGCGGCCGTTTAGAGTTTGAGCTCATTTCGTGAGCTCAAACTCAAAACGCCTTTAGCGCTTATCCCTCTCTCACACAACCGCCCTAGCCTTGCGGTTTTACTAGCCATCGCACACCTTACATCGTTCATCTAGACGGACATTAGGGTTAGGGTAGTTCGTAGTGTAGGGTGTTTGTGTGAACATTAGTGTTGAGAAGCATAGGGATCAAGCACCAAGCGGTCAAGGTGTCAAGTTGTAGAGACGGCGTTTCACAATATGACCACTGTGACTATATCGAATTTTCCCTTTGGCGAACTCGAACATGTTCGAGTCAAACATGTTCGAGTTCGCATGCTGCAACAATTCGTTTGCCCCCCAGGGCGAACGGCGAACACCTGTTTTCGCCCAAATAGTTCGCCGAACCGAACAGTGTTCGGTTCGGTATAAGTCGATGTTCGATAGGGGGCGAACAAGAACATGTTCGAGTTCGCCCTCTGCTCATCCCTATGTTGAACTTATTTCGGTGGTCATAGAAACAACTCTATAACCCCTCGAAATAAGTTCAACAGCAAGCTCGCTTCCACTCCAACGCCTTCTCCAAGGAGCTGTTTGTGTGCATTCCATACCAAGACATTGAGGAGGTGAGGTGGTGGGCAGGTAGAGAGGTGTGAGACACAATGTTATTGAGGGAATGGGAACAAGAATGGCATAGCTTGCGCCTCTGCTTCCACTCCAACTTTTTTGTGTGCATTTCGTACCAAAACATTGAGGAGTTGAGGTTGAGGAGGTGAGTTGGGCAGGCAGACAGATGTTTTGAGACGTCTCAAAACTTTGCTGCTACATTGGCACGTTTCGAAGGAGTTATTTGTGTGCATTCCCTACCAAGACTTTGAGGAGGCGAGGTAGACAAATGGAGGCGTTGGAAGCAATTTGTTTTTCTTTTCTTTTATTTTCTTTTCTTTTTTTAGGGAATTGGAACGGCCATAGCTTGAATCTGTGCTTTCATTCCAACACCGTTTCAAATGAGCTGTTTGTCTATCTGTGTGCATTTTCAGTGATTTGGAAGGGAAAACATATGACAATTACTTTCACGGAGAGCGTGTCGTCGAAGTAATTTTAACGAGTGATATGAGCTGTGCAAAATGATAGCAGGGACTGGTGTCGTCATTGATAAAGTGGACGTGGTAGGGAGGGTACATATGTATCATGTCAATTTTATCAATGCTGACACCAACCTCTGCTATTATTTTGCACGGCACACTGAAATCACTCGTTGTAGTTGTTTCGCCGACACGCTCTCCATGGAAGTGATTGTCGTTAGGTTACTATACTATGCGTTTCTTCCAAGCCACCGAAGGGGAGCAGATTTGTAACAGCGTAGCTCTTACTTGTGCTTCCATTCCAACGTCTTTTTTAGGGGTTGTCTGCTTACGTTCCATTCTCTTCCCTTTCCTTCCCGTTCCCATGGCCACGCCCCCGCTCTAACCACTTCAGGTTCGTCGCAGCACACACGCGCTGATCAACCCAGCCATGACGGTGGTGTTGCATCTGGGCACAGGCGGACACGGGGTGCCTCCTCTACCCAGTCCCGATGGTGAGCTTGCGTGTTGAGGTGTCTTAATGCTTGAGCTGGCATGCGCATAAGCCCTGTACACACCCCACCCCTCACATGCACACATGCACTGATCAACCCAGCCATGGCGGTGGTGTTGCATCTGGGCACAGGCGGACACGGGGTGCCCCCTCTACCAAGTCCTGATGGTGAGTGTGCGTGTGGGAGGCACATCAATCTTTATATTAACCCCTCACATGCACATAAGCCCTGACCCCATCCCATCACATGCACGCATGCGCTGATCAACCCAGCCATGACGGCGGTGCTGCATCTGGGCACAGGGGGGCGCGGGCGGGGTGCCACCTCTTCCCAGCCCAGTATCACCCGCGCAGTAGCATTGCCTTGCTTGCACGTTCGTCCATCCTGTCTGTCGTGGTGTGTGACACACAAGTTGCCTTGGTTTGTGGAACCGAGGCCATGCCGTGCCGATACTTTGCTGTGCTATGTCTGTCGTTGGTGGTCCTAACCCTCCTCATGCCCCTCCATGCGACCGAGTGCAATACAGGCTTGCATCGTGCTGGAACAGAGGTCATGCCATGTGCCTGCTGCTGTTCGCTTTCTCCTTATGCCCATCCCATCCCTTCCCCCTCGCATCCCCCCTTCCCGCTCGCCCCTCCCCTCCCTCCCCACACTCCGCTCCTTTTCCTCAGGTCGAGTGAAGTACAAGTTTGCATCGTTTTTGAACCGGGGCCATGCCATGCCATGCGGCTCTCTTGCCACTAGTCCTCATTCCCCTCCCATCGCTCTCTGCTTGCGTCCCCCTCCCTCCTTGACCACCCTCCTCGCAGGTCGAGTGAAGTACAAGTTTGCATCGATTTAGAACCGGGATCATGCCATGCGCCTGCTATCTCTTTCCCTTCTTAGTGCCGGCTCTTACCATCCCATCCCCCTTGTATCCTCCTCCCCTCCTCGCAGGTCGAGTGAAGTACAAGTTTGCATCGTTTTGGAACCGGGGCCATGCCATGCGGCTGCTGCAGGAGGCGATTGCGGAGTTCTGGAAGACCGAAGAGGCAGCTGCGCTGGTGCGTTCTCTCTGCCCCTGGTGCCCAGCCCGTTGTGCTCACCACCATCGGCTCTCCTGCCTCTTGGGTTCGAGGTCAGTGCCTGCTGCTGCAGGAGGCCATTGCCAAGTTCTGGAGAAGAGGCTGCTGCTCTGGTGCGTATCTATCTTCTTGTCCTCGCCCTTGGCTCTCCGGCTGGGTGGTAGCATGCAGGCAGTGCCTGCTGCTGCAGGAGGCCATTGCCGAGTTCTGGAAGACAGAAGAAGCAGCTGCGCTGGTACGTATATATCTTCTTGTACTTGCTGCTGGCTCTCTGGCTGGGTGGTAGCATGCAGGCATCGCCTGCTGCTGCAGGAGGTGATTGCAGAGTTCTGGAAGACTGAAGAGGCTGCTGCTGCGCTGGTACGTATCTCTTTGTTCCCACAGTTAACTCTCCTGTTACTCGACCATAGCTCTCCTGTTGCCCGCACTACCAGCTCTTCCGCCCGCCTCGTTGCATCGAGGTAAGAGCCTCCTGTACTACCTGCATGAAGCGATTCCCGAGTTCTTGTACTCGCTGCTGGCTCTCCTGGTACCCGTTATCAGGCCTGTTGCTTATTTGCATCAATGTAAGCACCTGCTGCAGGAGGGAGGCCTTTGCAGAATTCTGTCACTGGACTCTCCCAACTCACCATATCTCCCCAAAGTTTGTCATTTTGTAATCCCACAATCGAATCCCCCTAAATTCCACTGTAGGAGTGAAAAGGTGTTAAATTTGATTTGAGTAAGCCACCTAAATGTGGAGCCACCAAGAGGCTCTATACTACAAGCAAGGATCAAGGAAGGATTGGAGAGGAGGAGTTCCCTATTGGCCACTAAGCTGGCCAATGAAATGATTTGCTTGCGAACTAAGCAACCAGGATTAGATTGGGACAAATGAGTTGACAAGTGCCAACCAAGGTCAACCAGGGTCAACCAAGGTCAGCCAAGGTCAAGGACCAACCTTGGGCCAACCACACTAGGGTCGTGTACACCCATCCATCAACAGTCCAAATTCGTTAAATGCACCTTCTATTCTAGAATATGTATGTTGTTTTTTTATTTATATTACATCAAGGAGGAGGAGGAGCATGACCGGTTAGGGGTGATAAGGGCGATTCGGGTGACTAGGGACGGAGCAGTGGAGGGGAGAGAATCCTTTTCACTTCACAAATCTCAAAACCGCCATGGCAGGAGGAGCAGGGCCGGTTACGGGCCGTACGTATGAGTGATGGAGCAGTGAAGGGAATTTTTCTTATTTCCAATTCTATCACCCCCCCCCAAACGACTCTTTTTCAGTTGTGAAGCCAAGCGGAGGAGCAGGACTGGTTACGGGCCATCAGCATGAGGGATGGGGTAATCAAGGGGAGAAAATTATCTGCACATCAGACATCCCCAAAACTGCCGTGGCAGGAGGAGAAGCAGCAGGACCGTTACTGGCCACACGCATGAAAACGTGGCAGTAGGGGATCCCCCGTTTCTCCAATTATGTCAAACCCCCCCTCAACAACTCTTTTTCAAATTGGCAGGAGGAGGAGCAGGATCGGTTACGGGCGATAAGCATGAGGGACGGAGCATTAGAAGGGTTGTCATTTAGAGGAGCGGCTTTGGAAGCAGCAGAGGAGGAGAAGGAGAAACAACCCTTCCTCGACCTCACCGTGCTGGAGCACTTGCTGCAGGTGAGAGTGGTTTTGCAAGGTTTCTCCTCTTCTGATGCACTCAGACCAGCATGAGAGATGGGGCATTAGAAGGGTTGTTCTATAGAGGGGCAGCATCGAAGGCTGCGGAGCAGGAGAAGGAGAAGCAACCCTTCCTCGACCTCACCGTGCTGGAGCACTTGCTGCAGGTGAGGCCTCTTCTCTTTTGATGCGCTCAGATCAGCATGCGGGATGGGGCAATGGAGTGCACAGCAGACACTTCCCATTGAGCGTCCTCCATTTTTTATTCATCCGACTTCTTACCCCCCTTCCCTGTGTTTCTGTTCTTCGACCGTTTTACGTCTTCCCTTCCTCCTCTTCCCCCCCCACCCAGTTCTGCGTGCCATCCACTTAAGGAGCCTGTTTCAATGAGTCGTGTTTTGAGTCGACTCAAAACACGTGCCATGCACGGAAGAAGCTTTCTTCAACCTCCGTTCCTCCAATTTTTTCCAAGAACCTCATAAGTCAATTCATTCGATTCCCTTTCTTTCTGTGCTTTTCCCCCTCTGCCCTCCCCTCCCAGTTCGAGGTGCCCTGCACAGCAGAAACCTACTTCAATCTCCTCTACTCCGATTCGTCTGATTTCGTCGTGGTTTACCGAGCCAAGCGCAAGGACACAGAGCTGAAGGTGAGCCTTGGGGTTAAACGGAGTGACGCGTTGACCGCACATAAAAACCCTAAACCATGGTGTACCGAGCCAAGTGCAAGGACACGGAGCTGAAGGTGAGGCACGGGAACAACACAGCAGTAGGCTAGGCTTGGACCAAACAGCGAAAGGTGAGTCATGTGTGCCGTGCCAGATGCCGTAAGGCTCTGCCGTGGTATACCGAGCCTAAGGCCTCGCGGCATCTGACATTGAGGTGAAGGTGAGGCGCGGTCCAAACGAGGCGAAAGGTGAGGCAGGACTTTTTCAACTGTATGAAACGTTTCAGGAGCAAAGGATCCTAATAACCAACTAGTTGCTGAGATCCGTTTGCTCTTGAAGCATTTACAGGAAGTCCAATGTGCATCCAGCCAATTGAGCAATGTTTCACTTCTTTTACGCAACCTATAACATCTTGCCAGCCGTTTCAGGCTGTGATTTCGCTTGCATTGCATGTTTTCTTCCTCTTATTCCATTTGCTTCCTCTCATCCCACTTGCTTCCTTCAATTCTTGCCTTGCAGGTGGGCGAGTGGAAGGAAACAGAGCAGTACGGAGGCAAGATGAGGGAGGTAAGTTAAGGGACAAACTTCCTGGAAGATGGAAAGGGAGAAAAAAATCAGAAACAAACATGGTTGTTCAATCTGAGTATAATAGCAAATTGATCGTTTTCAGTTTCAGGAGATGAGAAGCGATAATTCAGGAAAGGTGATCAGAAAAGGTACGGGCTTTGTCATGTTTCACTCGACATATTTCTCACACTCCCGCTCTCAGTCTGGCTGTCAGTGTGACTGATAGCTACAGACAGGTAGCGACTCACTCTCAAATTCGTCTGAAAAGGGCTCTTCCATGTGCCCACCCTCCACTGCCATGGCCGATTGGTGGTGTATGGAGTGGCACGCAGGATTTCATGCTCTGCTTGCCACGCACCCACCCATCGTTCAGCCGCCCTGCCTGCACTCCACCCCCTCTCTCCCCCACTCCCCTCTCTCCACTGCCATGACCGATTGGTGGTGTATGGAGTGGCACACAGGATTTCATGCTCTGCTTGCCACACACCCACCCATCGTTTAGCCGCCCTGCCTGCACTGCACCCCCTCTCTCCCCCACTCCCCTTTCTCCACTGCCATGACCGATTGGTGGTGTATGGAGTGGCACGCGGGATTTCATGCTCTGCTTGCCACGCACCCACCCATCGTTCAGCTGCCCTGCCTGCACTGCACCCCCTCTCTCCCCCACTCCCCTTTCTCCACTGCCATGGCCGATTGGTGGTGTATGGAGTGGCACGCAGGATTTCATGCTCTGCTTGCCACGCACCCACCCATCGTTCAGCCGCCATGCCTGCACACTCTCCCCCACTCCCCGCCTCCCCTGTGCTCCCACCCAGGTGACCTATCGCTCGCTCTGTGACTCCCCCATGTGCCCACCCTCCACTGCCATGACCGAGTGGCTGTGGCTGAGTGGCAGCACACGGCCTTTCCTAGCTGATCCACGTGACCTCTCTTCCCACCCCTACCCGCCCCCCTGTCTTCCCAGGTGACCTATCGCTCGCTCTGCGACTCCCCCATGTGCCCACCCTCCACTGCCATGACTGAGTGGCAGCACACGGCCTTCTCTGCTCCAGACCACAAGCACCTGGTGCGTGCATGCTTTATATGTATCTCTGAGTGGAACACAACACGCGTGTAGAAATTGAAGTGCTCCTGAGGCCACCCTCCTCCACGGCCATGACTGAGTGGCAGCACATGGCCTTCTCTGCTCCAGACCACAACCACCTGGTGCGTGAATGCTCCATCTTATTGAAATATACAAATTTACTGATGGAGATGTTATAACAACCCAGCACATGCCAAGCACATCTTGTGCTGTGTGTTGCAGTCTGATTTCTTTGACTGACTGAAACAGTTTCTCGCGTTGCTTGCATGTCATTGTTCGGACTGTAACAACTCCCCTTAGTCCTGGTGATCTTCAATGAAACCATAGAAGTATGAACCTTATTCTTGCATCCATGAAGCCCCTCTCATCAGCTGCTGAGATGATGTGATGATGTGTGTGCTCCTTTTATAGCATCTCTCATCTATGCTGTGTTGCCTGTATCTCTCATCTCTCACTTCTCCCATCTTCCCTCCATCGTTTCCCACCAGCTGCTCGAGCTAATGAACCAAGCGCATGACATGCCGTTTGGGCCCTATCTGGTACAGTCGTGCCTGTACCTCTTGTATCTCATCTCTCACATCTCCCAACTCCCAACTCTCAACTCCTCTCAAACCAGGTACTGGAGCTAATAAACCAGGCGCATGACGTGCCGTTTGGATCCTATCTGTTACAGTCTCGCCTGTATTTCTTGTACCACATTTTTCTCATCTCTCAAATATCCCAACTTTCAATCCCCCTCCCTGGTCCCCCACCAGGTCTTGGAGCTAATAAACCAGGCGCATGACGTGCCGTTTGGGTCCTACTTTGAGGTGAGGCATGGGGTGTGGTGTGATTACATGAGCAGCCTAAGAAGATAAGAACAGATCAAATCTAAGAGGTGAACGGGAAACGTTAGCGAATCATTTCTATCCAGGTTAGTGGACTCAAGTTACGGCTGGCATATGGTCGTCAGCATCTCGCAGACAAAAAAACGAGCCAGCAAGATGCTGACGACCATTTGCCAGCCATAACTTGAGTCCACTAATCTGGATAGGAATGATTCGCTAATGTTTCCCCGTTCGCCTCTTAAATTCTTTCTGTTGTTACCTTCCTTTCTTACGCTTCTCCCCCACTTTTAAAATGGATAACATGACACCAGCGCTCGCTGTAGGCCGTCACAGGAAGGCGGGGGACCGAGCAAGACTGTGCAGGGCCTTTGAGCACCTTAGAACTAGAGATGAAATATGTGTTGGCTCTTAAACATCTCAAAATCGGGAGTTTATATCAACCCTTTTGCTCTTTTCTGTGGTTCTCAGGTGCATGCACAATGGACAGTCAAAACGACTTCCGACAACCCCGAGAGCCCATCGTGCAGCGCCGAGCTCAAAGCAGGTCGGTGGTCGTGGCTTTTCAGTTGAGTCAAATGTCTCCCTGTGAGGCAACTCCGATAACCCTGAGAGCCCATCGTGAAGTGCTGAACTTAAAGCCGGTCAGTGGTTATGCTGTTTGGCTTCAACTCAAAAGTCAACGGCTGCCCGATTTCAGTCTGTGTGTGTCCTTTTGCATTGTTGTGTTCAGGCTCTGAACCTTGTGGCTCATGCTGTGTGGTGCTTGCATGGTGCATGCTGCTTGGTGCATGGCGTGTGGTACATTGCATTTGTGACATAATTGCACGAGTGCGTACCAATAAGTGAGTCGTCTAAAGATTTTTTTTGCCAGGGGGAAGGGACAGATTCGACTTGCATTGAATCTTGTTGACATTTCTGTGTATCAACGTCTGTGCGTGTGTGAATTGCAGGTGTGCACTTCAAGAAGTGGTGCATGATGCAAGGGAAGATCCGGCAGGGAGCGCAGGCAGAGGTGAGTGCATGTGGTGCCCTTCCCTGTTGTTTGTAGTAGCTTGTGAGGTATCTTATGAGGCACATGTGTCATCTTCGTTCCAGCTCTGATATTACAGCAATATGTGCGCTGTTGAATTGTTGCTGCTTGCACTTGTTTGCTTTGTTGCCCTTTCTGGTATCCCGTGCAGATGAAGATGATGGAGATGGCAATGACATACATAGCAGAGCGAACACAGGGCGGTAACCAGCCGGTTGACTGTAATGCTATCTCCTCTGGTAGCACATCTCCCCCTTTGTTGCCCTCTCTCTCCCCTTCCTGCAGATGAAGAGGAACAGCCAGGCGATGATGGAGATGCAATGACAAACATAGCCGAGCGCACACAGGGCGGTAACCAGCCGGTTGACTGAGCACACGCAGGTGGTAACCAGCTGCTGCTGATAGCACATCTATCTCTTTGTTACCCCCTCCCTCTCGTCCTCTCCTTTTCTTCCTTGCCTGTGCAGATGAAGAGGAACAGCCAGGCGATGATGGAGATGGCAATGACATACATAGCTGAGCGCACACAGGGCGGTAACCAGCCGGCTGATTGTAACGCTGCTGGGAGCGTTGGGGCAGACAGCAGTGATAGTAATGGGAGAGGAAACGGGGGTGATGTGAAGGTGGAGGAGGGAGGGGAAGCAGGGGGAGTGGAAGGAAGGGAGAATCTTGTACCTGGTGGTGATAGTAGAAGACAAGGAAGTGTAGACACCAAGCCAGGGTAATTGCATTTCAAGTTTTGTTGTTTAAGAGGATAAGAGTGCTGCTATATGTTTGTTACTGCATCAATCGATGCCCTTGGTTCAGCCCCTGTAAATAGTGGTTCAGGAAAGAAAATATTTTCTACTGTGGTGGTTATTACCGTGGTGGTTCCAAGTATTACTCATTAAACTAACATGGTTTTCTTATCAATGGAGCAGACCACTAGAACAAAGCTTCCGTCCGTTCCGTAGCACTTTTTAGCGAATCCGTTTCACCCTTGTGCTAGACCCCACTAAAAGCCTAATGCGGCACAAGCGGGCTAAGGAAGACTCGACTGTAGCGTATCGCATGGCGATTATTCTGCACGGATGACGCCGTTCTCACCAGCCTTCGGCTCGCAGCGGCAGTACCGTTGTCGTGCTATTGCTGCGGGAATTCTGAGACAACCCAACGTTAGGGCATGATGAAATCGGCATTTGCGGAAGTAGTACGCCGCCTGTAGTCGATTCCCCGCTTGCGAAAAAGTAGTAGGATGTGATAGTGCTTCGCCACGCCACTCCTGACGTTATACGCGTTACAAAGCGTCTCAGGACTCTGTTGGAAGAACTAACAAGGGGAAGCCAACTCGCCTGGAAAAAGAACCTTGGGAATGCCGACGCCGTACGCGCGAGAGCTGGCGTGTGGAATCGTGAAGGACCACTTCGGGGACCAAGTGGAGGTGCGTGCGGGTGTTACCTGGGGGAGGTGCGCCCGGGTGCTACCTGGGAGAGGTGCATTTAAGTGTGTTGTGTTTTATGGGTGAGACCCATCTAAGGTGTTACCTGGGAGAGGTGCGCCCGGGTGCTACCTGGGAGAGGTGCATTTAAGTGTGTTGTGTTTTATGGGTGAGACCCATCTAAGGTGTTACCTGGGAGAGGTGCGTCCAGGTGTTATCAGGACCATTTCATGAAGGGCCACTTTGGTGGTGGAAGTGCGTGTGAGTGTTTTTGGGGGAGGCGAATCCAGGTTTATCTGGGGGAGGGGAGAGGGCATCCAGGTGTTATCCAGGTGGCATCCAGGACCACTTCTGGAACCAGGAGGAGGTGCGAGCGTGCGAGTGTTGCTCGGTGGGCACTCGCTCGGTAGATTCCTGCCCGGTGGACAGGGGAATCTAGGCTGTTCCTCCTTTCAGTTCCCCATTCCTCCTCCCTTCGATTCCCCACCCTTCCTTTCCACCCTCCTCCACCCCATGCAGGCGGTATGTCGCACACTGCTGGAGAAAGAACAGCTCGGCCTGTCCCTTCACGGCCCTCCTGTTTATTCCTTATGTCTTCTACCCTACCCCCTTCCCCCACTCCCCCACACCAGACGGTATGCCGCACGCTGCTAGAGAAGGGACAGCTGGGCCTGTCTCTCCAGGACCTCGCTCGCTTCACCGCCCTCCCACTAATGCAACCTTTTTTCCTCCCCCTACTCCCTATCCCTCCTCCTACCCCCTCCTATCAGACAGTATGCCGCACGCTATTGGAGAAGGGGCAGCTCGGCCTGTCCCTGCAGGACCTCACTCGTTTCACCGCCCTGCCCCCCCCTTCGCTCCGCTCTGCTCTCCTGGTGCTAGTACAGCACAACTGCGCGCAGGCCTTTCGGCCACAGACTGAAGGTGAGCCAGGCTGCCAGGGGTGAGGGTTGTGGGTATACCCTCTCAGAGCTCTCCCTCCTCCCTCAATTTGAGTCGACTCAAAACCAGGGGTGAGGGTTGTGGGTTTACCGTCTCAGAGCTCTCTCTCCTCCCTCAGTTTGAGTCGACGTAAAACCAGGGGTGAGGGTTGTGGGTTTACCGTCTCATAGCTCTCTCTCCTCCCTCAAATTTGAGTCGACTCAAAACCAGGGGTGAGGGTTGTGGGTTTACCGTCTCATAGCTCTCTCTCCTCCCTCAAATTTGAGTCGACTCAAAACCAGGGGTGAGGGTTGTGGGTTTACCGTCTCAGAGCTCTCTCTCCTCCCTCAGTTTGAGTCGACGTAAAACCAGGGGTGAGGGTTGTGGGTTTACCGTCTCATAGCTCTCTCTCCTCCCTCAAATTTGAGTCGACTCAAAACCAGGGGTGAGGGTTGTGGGTTTACCGTCTCATAGCTCTCTCTCCTCCCTCAGTTTGAGTCGACATAAAACCAGGGGTGAGGGTTGTGGGTTTACCGTCTCATAGCTCTCTCTCCTCCCTCAAATTTGAGTCGACTCAAAACCAGGGGTGAGGGTTGTGGGTTTACCGTCTCATAGCTCTCTCTCCTCCCTCAGTTTGAGTCGACGTAAAACCAGGGGTGAGGGTTGTGGGTTTACCGTCTCATAGCTCTCTCTCCTCCCTCAGTTTGAGTCGACGTAAAACCAGGGGTGAGGGTTGTGGGTTTACCGTCTCATAGCTCTCTCTCCTCCCTCAAATTTGAGTCGACTCAAAACCAGGGGTGAGGGTTGTGGGTTTACCGTCTCATAGCTCTCTCTCCTCCCTCAAATTTGAGTCGACTCAAAACCAGGGGTGAGGGTTGTGGGTTTACCGTCTCAGAGCTCTCTCTCCTCCCTCAGTTTGAGTCGACGTAAAACCAGGGGTGAGGGTTGTGGGTTTACCGTCTCATAGCTCTCTCTCCTCCCTCAAATTTGAGTCGACTCAAAACCAGGGGTGAGGGTTGTGGGTTTACCGTCTCAGAGCTCTCTCTCCTCCCTCAGTTTGAGTCGACGTAAAACCAGGGGTGAGGGTTGTGGGTTTACCGTCTCATAGCTCTCTCTCCTCCCTCAAATTTGAGTCGAATCAAAACCAGGGGTGAGGGTTGTGGGTTTACCGTCTCAGAGCTCTCTCTCCTCCCTCAGTTTGAGTCGACGTAAAACCAGGGGTGAGGGTTGTGGGTTTACCGTCTCATAGCTCTCTCTCCTCCCTCAAATTTGAGTCGACTCAAAACCAGGGGTGAGGGTTGTGGGTTTACTGTCTCAGAGCTCTCTCTCCTCCCTCAGTTTGAGTCGACGTAAAACCAGGGGTGAGGGTTGTGGGTTTACCGTCTCATAGCTCTCTCTCCTCCCTCAGTTTGAGTCGACGTAAAACCAGGGGTGAGGGTTGTGGGTTTACCGTCTCATAGCTCTCTCTCCTCCCTCAAATTTGAGTCGACTCAAAACCAGGGGTGAGGGTTGTGGGTTTACCGTCTCATAGCTCTCTCTCCTCCCTCAGTTTGAGTCGACGTAAAACCAGGGGTGAGGGTTGTGGGTTTACCGTCTCATAGCTCTCTCTCCTCCCTCAAATTTGAGTCGACTCAAAACCAGGGGTGAGGGTTGTGGGTTTACCGTCTCATAGCTCTCTCTCCTCCCTCAAATTTGAGTCGACTCAAAACCAGGGGTGAGGGTTGTGGGTTTACCGTCTCAGAGCTCTCTCTCCTCCCTCAGTTTGAGTCGACGTAAAACCAGGGGTGAGGGTTGTGGGTTTACCGTCTCATAGCTCTCTCTCCTCCCTCAAATTTGAGTCGACTCAAAACCAGGGGTGAGGGTTGTGGGTTTACCGTCTCAGAGCTCTCTCTCCTCCCTCAGTTTGAGTCGACGTAAAACCAGGGGTGAGGGTTGTGGGTTTACCGTCTCATAGCTCTCTCTCCTCCCTCAAATTTGAGTCGACTCAAAACCAGGGGTGAGGGTTGTGGGTTTACCGTCTCAGAGCTCTCTCTCCTCCCTCAGTTTGAGTCGACGTAAAACCAGGGGTGAGGGTTGTGGGTTTACCGTCTCATAGCTCTCTCTCCTCCCTCAAATTTGAGTCGACTCAAAACCAGGGGTGAGGGTTGTGGGTTTACCGTCTCATAGCTCTCTCTCCTCCCTCAGTTTGAGTCGACGTAAAACCAGGGGTGAGGGTTGTGGGTTTACCGTCTCATAGCTCTCTCTCCTCCCTCAGTTTGAGTCGACGTAAAACCAGGGGTGAGGGTTGTGGGTTTACCGTCTCATAGCTCTCTCTCCTCCCTCAAATTTGAGTCGACTCAAAACCAGGGGTGAGGGTTGTGGGTTTACCGTCTCATAGCTCTCTCTCCTCCCTCAAATTTGAGTCGACTCAAAACCAGGGGTGAGGGTTGTGGGTTTACCGTCTCAGAGCTCTCTCTCCTCCCTCAGTTTGAGTCGACGTAAAACCAGGGGTGAGGGTTGTGGGTTTACCGTCTCATAGCTCTCTCTCCTCCCTCAAATTTGAGTCGACTCAAAACCAGGGGTGAGGGTTGTGGGTTTACCGTCTCAGAGCTCTCTCTCCTCCCTCAGTTTGAGTCGACGTAAAACCAGGGGTGAGGGTTGTGGGTTTACCGTCTCAGAGCTCTCCCTCCTCCCTCAGGGTTCAGGGTGTTGGGTTTCCTACCTCCCCCTCCCTCCCCCTTCTTTCCGCTCCGCTCTCCTGGTGCTCGTACAGCACAACTGCGTGCAGGCATTTCGACCGTAGGCAGACTGAAGGTGGATTATTCAGGGTTTAAGGTTAAGGCTGTGACTTGACTTGACTTGACCCTCTCCCTCCTCCCTCAGGGTTCAGGATGTTGGGTTTCCTTTCACCCCCTCCCTCCCCGTTCGTTCGGCTCTGCTCTCACACAGGCCTTCCGGCCTTTTGGCCCGTACCCAGGCCAACTGGTCTCTTATCCTGCACCCCACACTCTTGAGAACTCCCAATAGTGCTGCACAGCACAACTGCACTGCACTGCACTGCACACAGGCCTTTTGGCCCGTACGCAGGCCAACCGGACTACTTTTGAGGCACCTCAAAAGTTGGCGCCTCAAAAGTAGGCGCCTCAAAAGTGAACTGCACAGTGCACACAGGCCTTTCGGCCCGCCTGCACTGCACCCACCCCACCACACTCTACATCACTCTACTTTTGAGTCGACTCAAAAGTCAACGCAGGCGAACCGGCTTCTTGGCCTGCACCCACCCCACCTATATTGGAGTGACTTTTGAGAATTCTCAAAAGTCACCCCACCACACTCTACATCGCTCTACAGGACTCCATTCTGCCTCGCCTCCCCTGTGCGTTGATTTAACTCTTCACACCCTCTTCAACCACACTCCCTCCTTTTCCTCTCATCCTGCCCAACCCCCATTCCCTTCCAGACTCCGGTCTTCTCGCCCGCACGCCCACGCTCTACATCGCTCATCAGGACTCCATCCTGCCTCGCCTTCTCTGCGCAGACTGACTCTCCACACCCCCCTTAATCTTAATCCACGGTCCGCCACCATCTCCTACTTCCCCTGCTCACCCCATTCCCTTCCAGACTCTGGCCTTCTCGCCCGCACGCCCACGCTCTACATCGCTCATCAGGACCCCATCCTGCCTCGCCTCCCCTTTGGAACGATTCCATTCTCCTGCTTCCCCCCTTGCTCTTTTCAACCCCTCCTTCATAGAGACACCAGTCCCCTGGCCCGCACGCCCACGCTCTACAGGACCCCATCCTGCTTCACTTAAAAGCCCCCTCTGCCTGCCCTTCCCCGCTTCTTCCCCACCCACGCCCTCCCCAGGACACCAGACCTCTTGCCCGCACGTCAACCCTCTACATTGCGCTTCAGGACTTCATCCTGCCCCGCCTGCGCGAACCACCAAGCTAACCTTTCACACCCACTCCAACCACTCCAAACCCCTGCTTCTTTCCCCCCATAGACACGGGTCCTCTGGCCCGCATGCCCACACTCTACGTCGCTCTGCAGGACTTCATCCTGCCTCGCCTGCGGTGCTTTGATCTAACTTTTTACACCCCTTCTTATCCTTCCCAACCCCTTCTGCTCCCCTGCCAGACACGGGTCCCCTGGCCCGCACACCAACCCTATACATCTCTCTGCAGGACTCCATCCTGCCTCGCCTGCGCTTCCCCAAGTTCATGGCGCAGACAAACGAACTGCTGGGAGACGAGGTGGGTGTGTGGAATGCGGTGGAGTAGGGTGGAGTGGGGTGAAGTGGTCGAAGACGCGGGTTAGGCGTGTCACTTCATGGTTCTGCCTCGCCTGCGCTTCCCCAAGTTCATGGCTCAGACGAACGAGCTGCTGGGAGACGAAGTGGGTGGGTGGTTGGTTGATGGGTGGAAGGGTCGGTTGGTGGATGAGTGGATGGGCGGGTGGGGCAGAGGCAGTGATTGACGCTCTTTGAGACGTCTCAAAACTCTTTTGAAGCATGGTTGCCTTGCCTGCCCTCGGTTTCCCACAGTGGGGCGTTCCACCATCTCGGGCAGCGATCGCCCCACAGTTCCCTTGATGCCCCACCCCCACGCGCCCCCCTTTCTTCCCGCACCCCCCATCTAAGCACTATGTTCAGGCAGAAGCAGTGGTGGAGGCTCTTCTGGGGGACCACAGCCACCTGTCCCGCCCCCAGCTGGTGAAGCAGCCGAAGTTCCCTCAATGTGTCATCCTCCCTTTTCTTCCTGCACCCCCGCTCCCCCTCCCAACACACCTCCCGTCAGGCAAAGGTAAAGTGGTGGAGGCTCTTCTGGAGCACGGCCGTCTGTTCCTGCACCAGCTCGTGCAGCGATAACACCGCACTTCCCTTGATGCCCCATTTACCACCCACCCTTTCCCCTTCCCCCTCCAACACACCCCTCGTCAGGCAGAGGCAGTGGTGGAGGCTCTTTTGGAGCACGGCCGCCTGTTCCCATGCCGCATCTCTCCCCCCCCCCCCTCTCTCCACTTTTCCCCTTCCCCATCCAGCACACACCTCGCCAGGCAGAGGCAGTGGTGGAGGCTCTTTTGGAGCACGGCCGCCTGGCACAGCGATCAAAGTTCCCTCAATGCCCCATCCTCGCTTTATTCTCCCTGTCCCCGTCCCACCCAACACACCTCTCATCAGGCAGAGGCAGTGGTGGAGGCTCTTTTAGAGCACGGCCGCCTGTCCCTGCACCAGCTCGTGCAGCGATCAGTGGCAAAGGCTGGCTCGTCTGATCCCTCTGCTGCCAAGAGTAAGCAACTTGTAGGTTGAGATGCAAGCATGAGAGTATGTGTGTCTGTCTTTGAGGCGCCTCAGAAGCACGACTGGGTCGGGTCCGTTGACTGTCACTGCATCAACTTGTGCCTTTTGAGAATTCTCAAAGCCGATCAGTGGCGAAGGCTGGCTCGTCTGATCCCTCTGCCGCAAAGAGTAAGCAACTTGTTGCTTGGCTGCCCTTTGATTATGTATGTCTATTTTGAGCCGCCTCAAGAGCAAATGTTTCTTTTTATTATTCTTATTCATTTGTTCGTTTGATTTTTTTTCTTTTTAATTCTTCGTTTGCTTCTTATTCTTTTGTTTTTTCCACGTTCGTTTGCTCACCCTGCCGTTCCTGCAGCCGAGGGTCAGATTCGGCAGCAGCTGGTGGCGGCGCTGTCAGTGCTGATCCATGAGAGGCTCGTCGAGAGGGTCGGGGCCCCCGAGCCTATGCTGCCGGCTCGGGGAGCAAGCAGCGGCGGCGATGCTCCCAAGCCTGCTGCTCGTGCGCGAGTGGTGAGTTTGTTCTCCCTCTCCAGACACTCTTTCCCTCTTATTTGTAGTGCCTAATCCGGTTCACCAATCTCAAATGTGGCTTCAGTTCATTCAGAGGTGGTGTTGCAGCGCGCGTGGTGCATTCAGAGGTGCTCGGTTCACTTGTATTGAATCGGAGGAGGGGCGGAGCATCGCATGGTGGGTGTTGCAGCGCGCTGCACTCACACTCGCTCACTCCTGCCATCTTTTCTCCCTTGCCTCTCTCAGTGCACGCGAGCAATGATGGAATCGTCTGGCTATCTTTTGAGGCGCCTATCTTTTAAGTCGACTCAAAACTCGACTTATCACACACAACTCAACAGTCGACTCAAAACTCGCCTCAGAAGTTATTATTTGAGGCGCCTATCCTGACTCGGAGGAGCACCGGGTGGTGGTTGTTGCAGCGTGCTATTGCCACGCACTTGCTCCCTCCTGCTGTGTTTTCCATGTGCCGTTTGCTAACCTGTCCCACCCTCTCAGCGCACTCGGGCAATGATGGAGTGGTCGGGGTATGTTGACTCGGAGGAACACCGTGTGGTCGTTGCAACGACACTCACTCTCTCCTGATGTTTTTCTCTATATTACTCCCTGACGTCAGCCCCCGTGTCTCACCCCACCCTCTCAGCGCATGAGGGCAATGATGGAGTGGTCCGACTACGTTGATTCTGAAGAGCACCACGTGGTTGTTGCAGTGTGCTGCACCCTCACTCATTTACTCCTCTCCTCTCATGTTTGCATGTCCCCTTCCCTTCCTGCTCCCACCCTTCCTCTCATCCCTCTCAGCGGATGTGGGCAATGATGGAATCGTCTGGGCACGTCGACTCCGAAGAGTACCGCGTGGTCGTTGCAGCGCGCTGCTGCTGCAGCCATACTCATTCCCTCCTCTCCTCTCATGCTTGAACGTCCCCTTCCCTTCCTGATTTCATTCACTCTTCCTCCCTATCAGCGCATGCGGGCAACGATGGAGTCGTCAGGCTACTTTGATTCAGAGGAGCATCGTGTGGTCGTTGCAGCGCGCTGCAGCCACTCCCACTCCGCTCACTCCTGCCATGTTTCCCTCCTTGCTCTTTCAGCGCACGCGTGCCATGATGGAATCGTCTGGCTACTTTGACTCATGATTGAAGAAGGGTTTTGAGACGTCTCAGAACCCTTCTTCAATCAGCGCGCTGCAGCCACTCCCACTCCGCTCACTCCTGCCATGTTTTCCCCCTTGCTCACTCTTTCAGCGCACACGTGCCATGATGGAATCGTCTGGCTACTTTGATTCAGAGGAGCATCGTGTGGTCATTGCGGCGCGCTGCAGCGATGCTCTGCGCTTCCAGCTGCCTGCTGCCTGGGTGCTGTCGGGTGGTGATGGCGCTGGTGGCAATGCTGTTAGTGCTGCTGCTGTGGATGGGAGCGCAGGGGCGGATGGGGGGATGTCAGCAGCAGCAGCAGCAAAGCTGAAGGTGAGTGGGATGTTGTAGATTCAGGATCGGCTGTGTTGTTTCGGGAAAGAACACCGACTGGTCGTTGCAGCGCACTGCAGCGATGCTCTGCGCTTCCAGCTGCCCGCTGCCTGGGTGCTGTCGGGTGGTGGTGGCGCTGGTGGCGGTGCTGCTAGTGCTGCTGCTGTGGATGGGAGCACTGGAACAGATGGTGGGATGTCAGCAGCAGCAGCGGCCAAATTGAAGGTGATTATTCGGATCGTGGTGATTGTGCTGGCGCTGGTGCTGTTAGTGGTGCTGTGGATGGGAGCGCAGGGGCGGATGGTGGAATGTCAGCAGCAGCAGCAGCAAAGTTGAAGGTGAGTGAGTTGTTGGAATTGGTGGATCTCAATCGTATTTTGAGTCGACTCAAAATTACGAAGGTGAGTAATTTGTCGGAACGGAATTGGTGGATCTGGGTGCAGTGCAGGTGCAGCCGTGCTGTTTCAGGAAGCATCACCGGTGTTTCGCCCTGCACTGGTGGTGCCCCAATACAGTGTTTCCCCTTCTTCCCTTCTGCTCTGTACTTGCAGAGAAAGTGAGTGGTTCTAGACAATGAGGATGAGGATGAGGAGCAAGCGGGGCCCAGTGCCAAGCGGCCTGCAACGGGGTTGGCAGCAGGTGGAGGGAAGTGCAGGTGGAGGGGAGAAGCAAGTTTTTCTAGACAATGTTATGCCGCTTTTTCCCGTGGTCTCGTCCTCACTCACTTGCAGAGAAAGCGGGTGGTTCTAGACGATGACGATGAGGAGGAGCAAGCGGGGCCCAGTGCCAAGCGCCCTGCAACGGGGTTGGCACCACACAGAGTTTTCCGTGTCTGCCCTTGCACTGCACCTCACCGCACCCCACCGCACCACACTTTCAGGGAAAGCGAGTGGTTCTAGATGCAGACGATGCGGAGGAGGAGCAAGCGGGACCCAGTGCCAAGCGGCAAGCGCTGGCCGCACTGCACCACACAGTGTTCCCCATTTCTGCCCTTGCACCGCACCCCACCGCACCTCCCTTGCAGAGGAAGCGAGTGGTCTTGGATGATGACGATGAGGAGGAGCAAGCAGGGCCCAGTGCCAAGCGGCCTGCACTGGTACCACCACACAGTGTTCCCGTACCATCAGACAGTGTTTCCCTTTGTACCCTTGCCCTCCACTCTATACCTGTAGAGAAAGCGAGTGGTGTTGGATGATGACGACGAGGAGGAGCAAGCAGGGCCCAGTGCCAAGCGGCCTGCACTGGCCGCACCACCACACAGTGTTTCCCATTTCTGCCCTTGCACCGCACCCCACCGCACCGCACTTGCAGAGAAAGCGAGTGGTGTTGGACGATGACGATGAGGAGGAGCAAGCGGGGCCTAGTGCCAAGAGGCTTGCAACGGGGGCGGCACCACACAATGTTTCCCATTTCTGCCTATGCACTGCACCCACCACACCGCACCCCACCGCACCGCACTTGCAGAGGAAGCGAGTGGTTTTGGATGACGATGATGATGAGGAGCAAGCGGGGCCCAGTGCCAAGCGGCCTGCCACAGGGGCTGCAGCAGGTGGAGGGGAGAAGCAGGGAGGAGGAGGGGAGGACTCTGGCGTGCTGTGGCGGGTGAACTATGAGGAGTTTCTTAGACGAACGAGACACCAGGTGGGTTGTGGGTGGTTGGGAGGAGAACAGCGCACCAGGTAGGCAGCCAACAAGACACCAGGAGTGAAGCAGGGAGGAGGAGGGGAGGACTCTGGCGGCGTGCTGTGGCGGGTGAACTATGAGGAGTTTCTCAGGCGAACGAGACACCAGGTTGGTTCTGGTGGGAAGATTCCATGCACCAGGTGGGCTTCATGTGGGAAGAGAACAAGGCACCAGGTGTGCAGCAAAGCAGGGAGGAGGGGAGGACTCTGGCGTGCTGTGGCGGATGAAACACGAGGAATTTCTCAGGAGAACGGGACACCAGGTGGGAAATTTTTTCAGATGCAAAAAAAAACAGTGAAGGGTTTTCCGGTAGAATGGGACACACACCAAGTGGGGGCCTCTGTTACTGCTGTCACTGCCGTGCTTGCTCTTTCCCCTCCCTGACAACCCACTTTCCCTCACCCAATTCCCGACACCCTCTTCCTTCCCCACACCCATATCCGCCACTCTTCACCCCTCTCCACCCCTCTCCACCCCTCTCCACCAGACCATAGTGGACTTTGTGCGGGAGAGCATTGACCCTGGCGCTTCCATCATCACAGCCGCCCTGCTCCATGCTGGAAAGAACCAGGAAACTTCCCTTCGACACCCGTACTCAGGTAGCGTACCTCACTCCCTAGATTTGATTCCTTTGATTCCTTCGGTGCTTTCTCAAGACACGAGCATTGCCATGCCAGCATCCCTCCTATACACCTCCCCTTCCCTGCCCTCCCAGCGTCTCTCTCCCTGGACTCGATAGTCAATGCAGTGCGAGGCACAGAAGACGGTCGCACCATGGCCCTGGATCGCATCAGATCCCTCTGCACCTCTTACTCCCCTCCCAGCATTCCTCCTATACACCTCCCCTTCCCTGCCCTCCCAGCGTCTCTCTCCCTGGACTCAATAGTCAATGCAGTGCGAGGCACAGAAGACGGTCGCACCATGGCCCTGGATCGCATCAGATCCCTCTGCACCTCTTACTCCCCTCCCAGCATTCCTCCTATACACCTCCCCTTCCCTGCCCTCCCAGCGTCTCTCTCCCTGGACTCGATAGTCAATGCAGTGCGAGGCACAGAAGACGGTCGCACCATGGCCCTGGATCGCATCAGACCCCTCTGCACCTCTTACTCCCCTCCCAGCATTCCTCCTATACACCTCCCCTTCCCTGCCCTCCCAGCGTCTCTCTCCCTGGACTCAATAGTCAATGCAGTGCGAGGCACAGAAGACGGTCGCACCATGGCCCTGGATCGCATCAGATCCCTCTGCACCTCTTACTCCCCTCCCAGCATTCCTCCTATACACCTCCCCTTCCCTGCCCTCCCAGCGTCTCTCTCCCTGGACTCGATAGTCAATGCAGTGCGAGGCACAGAAGACGGTCGCACCATGGCCCTGGATCGCATCAGACCCCTCTGCACCTCTTACTCCCCTCCCAGCATTCCTCCTATACACCTCCCCTTCCCTGCCCTCCCAGCGTCTCTCTCCCTGGACTCAATAGTCAATGCAGTGCGAGGCACAGAAGACGGTCGCACCATGGCCCTGGATCGCATCAGACCCCTCTGCACCTCTTACTCCCCTCCCAGCATTCCTCCTATACACCTCCCCTTCCCTGCCCTCCCAGCGTCTCTCTCCCTGGACTCAATAGTCAATGCAGTGCGAGGCACAGAAGACGGTCGCACCATGGCCCTGGATCGCATCAGGGCAGCTCTGCAGCTGCTCGTTGCTCATCCCAGCGCCGTGGCTTCTCGTTCCTCAGACGCTCACTACACCATCCGTGAGTCGTCGATCTGCGCATGTCAAACGTGAGTCATCAATCTGCACATGTCAAACGTGAGTCATCAATCTGCACATGTCAAACGTGAGTCATCCAATCCAATTCCACATGTCAAACTACTCAGAGTTGAGTTATATATACGTTGCACCACGAGCATGTAAACCTATCCAACTCCGCTAACCTTGTTGTGTGAGCGTGCCTGTGCTTGCATGTGTACGTGTGTATGCATGTGTGCATGCATGTGTGCATGCATGTGTGCATGCATGTGTGAATGTATGGATGGCTTGTGAATGCATAACGTGTGAATGGTCATTTCTGCTGTTGCTGTCAGAATCTGCAAAGATTATCGAGCTAGTGAAACTCAGAGAGGTGTGTTGACTTTAGTTGACTGACAGGGAAGTGCGTTGACTAGAGTTGACTCATGGATCGCGGGGCTATCCTTAGAGGGTTCGTTCATTCAATAGTACTTGTGATTACTCCATTAACTCTTGCCTTATAAATGCGCGTAAATTTTCATTTACTCCCCGTTTCCTCATTCCACGGGCAATGTTGTTTGTTTTTTCTCTTCTTCTTCTTTTGGATTGATTGTAGCAACATTTTACATCCCATCCCTCATGACTTTTGAGTCGACTCAAAAGTTGATTGTAGCAACATTTTATATCACATCCCTCACGGTGTTGTGCTGACTTTGTCGGTTCACAACGTGGTGGCCTTTGTAGGTAACCCTAAATCAGTTCTCGTCATATGCTCATCATCATTACCACTTCGTTCATCCATTTCTAAGCCTTGACACATATGTATCACGTTGAGGGTTACTTACAAAGTGGTGTCAATGCCAGTCCCACGGAGGGAGACTACCGTGCGTCAATGCTTTGGGCCTTCTCTCACTCAATGCCCCACTTCTCCAACCTGTCAACCTCGCCCGTCCCACTACTGGTCACTCAGGTGGAGGCCATTGTTTCTCAACGTTTCGGCCCTTCTGCCTGCCGATTGTTCCGCCTGCTGCTGTCCAAGAACTGCTTGGAGCAGAAGCAGGTGGGATGGTGGGAAAGGGGGAGCGGGGGGAGGAGGGGGGCGGAGGCTAACCTAGCACAAAGAGCAGAGGTGGCAGGTATTTCATCGTATCTCAACGCTTCGAGCCTTCTGCCTGCCCACTGTTCTGCCTACTGCCCTCCAAGACCTGCCTGGAGCAGAAGCAGGTGAGATGGTGGGAGGGGGAATCGGGGAGGGAAGGATATTACTGAAGGTTGTTTAGGGATTTCAGAATTCACCCCCCTTTTCTTTGTCCCAATCAATTTTCCAAACCTAAAAGAAATTTCGAAATAGCTGTGCAACACGAGGTATTGGGGAGGCGGCCACGCTGTATGACAGGTGAGAGGCTGTTTTTCCTTTTCATTTCACTGATCCAATTTCTACCGGGAAAAACTGGCTGATGCAGTTTTGCACGGGGCAGCTCTTCATCGCATCGACCATCCCTCTAATGTGTGCGAACTCCGTTCACCTATTGAAGGGCGGCCTAAAAATACTATGGACCCGAAGAAAACCTGAACTTTGGCCTCACGGATGACCAGAAAATGAGAAATTGAATGGGGGTGCGAAGGCTCCTTTTTTCTGGTCATCCGTGAGGTCAAAATTCAGTTTTTTCTTCGGGTCCAAAATATTTGTACGCCGGCCTGCAAAAGGAGAACGATCTTCGCACACTTTAGAGGGCTCATTGATGCGATGAAGAGCTGCCCATGCAATACTGCATCAATCAGTTTTGCCCGGTAGAAAAGAAAAGAAAAACAGCCTCTCGGCCGCCTCCTGTGGGCTGCATCACGCATGCACTCACAAATAACCTGAATTTTGGCCTCTTTTTTTTCTTTTTTTTTTTCCTCCCATTTTCGTAAAGAGGGAATTGGGGAGGCGGACCATGCCCGACAACAGCCAGGTGTGGGTAACACCAAAAGGGGTACCCCTCCACCGTTTCTCTTACCGGTTCTCTCACTTCCCGTGTCTCATCAGCCCTCTCTCTCCATCTCTCTTCCCATGCCACTAGGCAGCGGAGCTGGCGATATCTCTTGCGGACGCACAGCAGCTGCTCTACCGAATGACCCTATTTTTTCCCTCTCTCCATCTCTCCCCACCCCACTCCATCTCTCGTACGATCCCACCAGGCGGCAGAACTTGCGATGATATCTCTTGCGGACGCACGGCAGCTGCTCTACCGAATGATGCTGGATGAGTTTGTGCAGCTGCAGGTATGGCGTAGTCTTGTATGTGTGATCGTCTTGTCTCCGCTAGATGGGCTGTATGTGTATGAATGCTGTATACGTCTCTACTTGCGCAGCTGCTCTACCGAATGATGCTGGACGAGTTTGTGCAGCTGCAGGTATGATGTAGTTGCATGTGGGCATGCATGCTACTCCACCTAGCTTCTCTAAGCATGCTTGCAGCTGCAGCTGCTCTACCGTATGATGCTGGGCGAGTTAGTGCAGCTGCAGGTATGGCATGGATGAGTGCAGGTATGGTGTGCTGTGGATGCATGTGCGAGATACTCTACCTAGCTCCTCTAGGGCCGAGGCGTGCTTGTATGCACAGCAGCTGCTCTACCGGATGATGCTGGACGAGTTTGTGCAGCTGCAGGTGCGTGAGGTTGTGTTTGCAGGATCAGCTGCAGGTGCGGTACGGTACGATGGTTGTATAAGGTGTTACCCTGTAGCCCTGCTGCTTGCGCACCTGCTCTACCGCATGATGCTGGACGAGTTTGTGTAGCTGCAGGCATGGTGTGGATGAGTGCAGGTGCGGGTATTGCAGCTGCAGGCATGAGATCATTGTATGTCCTCCGAGTCTAGATTTTGATTTCTCTGTTTATTGCGCACCTGGCATGGCAGCAACTCCCTTTTTCACTCCCAGTTCTGCCCCACATGCTCTTACCCAGCCAATATCCTCCCTCTTCTGCTCACCTGCCACACAGGAAGTCCCCAAGACGGCAGACCACACATTCACACAGGTCCTCAAAGAACCTTTTATCTCTGGCTCATTCACACAGCACTGGTTCTGCCCAATGTGCATTCTTGATCTCCTCTGCCCCTCTCTTTTTGGTACATCAAGTCCCCAAGACAGCGGATCATGCCCCTCAGAGGACACTCTACCTCTCGCACATTCACATCGCAACGGTTCTGCCCCGCGTGCATTCTTCACCCCACCAGCAACGGTTCTGCCCCGCGTGCATTCTTCACCCCACCAGCAGCGGTTCTGCCTTGCGTGCATTCTTCACCCCACCAGCAGCGGTTCTGCCCCGCGTGCATTCTTCACCCCAACAGCAGCGGTTCTGCCTTGCGTGCATTCTTCACCCCACCAGCAGCGGTTCTGCCCCGCGTGCATTCTTCACCCCACCAGCAGCGGTTCTGCCTTGCGTGCATTCTTCACCCCACCAGCAGCGGTTCTGCCTTGCGTGCATTCTTCACCCCATCAGCAGCGGTTCTGCCTTGCGTGCATTCTTCACCCCACCAGCAGCGGTTCTGCCTTGCGTGCATTCTTCACCCCACCAGCAGCGGTTCTGGCACATCCACATCGCGACTGTCCTGCCCCTTGCTGTCCTTCCCCTTGCTGTCCTTGTACCTCTGGTGCATTCCTGATTCCCCTTGCCACAATCTCCCCCTCTGCTGCTCCCCTGTATCTCGCCTCCACAGGAAGTCCCCAAGACGGCTGATCATGCCCCTCAGAGGACCTTCTACCTCTGGCGCATCCACATTGGGACGGTTCTGCCCCGCGTGCTCAACCACATGTGCCATGGCGCCTGCAACCTGCGGCTGAGGCTGGAGCATGAAATGCAGCAGGAGCAGGAGGTGAGCAGAAATGGAGAACTGGCTGTAACACGAGAGTTTGTTAGATGGTGCTTGCTTCTCCCCCGCGTGCTCAACCACATGTGCCATGGCGCCTGCAACCTTTGGTTACGGCTGGAGCACGAGATGCAGCAGGAGCAGGAGGTGGGAGAGGGAGGTAAAGGTTGTGCAGGAGTTTTGGTCTCTCAACACGACTAGAGCGGCATCAGTAGTAAGCTAGCGCATGGCAGCGACAGTTCTGCCCCGCGTGCTGAACCACATGTGCCATGGTGCTTGCGACCTGCGGCTGAGGCTGGAGCATGAAATGCAGCAGGAGCAGGAGGTGAGAGAGAAGGAGAGGGGAGTGTGTGACTTGGGATGGGAGAGTGCTTGATGGTTCTGTCCTGCCCCGCGTGCTGAACCTCATGTGCCACGGTGCCAAAGCCTGAGGCTGGAGCATGAAATGCAGCAGGAGCAGGAGGTGAGGGAGACGGCAGAGTGGTGGTAAACAAGCACCACAGCACAGGCGGTGCTGCCAGTTCCGTTGGAGGTGGCGGGGTCCCAGAGAAGGCAGTGGCATTGAAGTCAGGGCAGAGGAAGCAACTGGAGAGGATACGGCGAGCGCTGTTCTCTCGCCCATGTGTGTGTAACCCATGTCCGTACCACCCATGTGACTTTTGAGTCGACTCCCATGTCCGTACCACCCATGTGTGCTTGAACCCATGTGCGAATCCACCAGGTGCTCTCTCTCTTGGAGCAAATAGAACAGGCGCATGCAGCACACAGCACAGGTGGTGCTGCCAGTTCCGCTGGTGGTGATGGCGGGGTCCCAGAGAAGGCAGTGGCGTTGACGTCAGGGCAGAGGAAGCAGCTGGAGAGAAGCATGGGCTATTCGGCGAGTGCCTCTCACCCATGAACTAATAACCCATCATGTGCTTATAACCGGTGTGCTTATAACCTCCTGTGACTCCACCAGGTGCTCTCTCTCTTGGAGCAAATAGAACAGGCGCATGCAGCACACAGCACAGGTGGTGCTGCCAGTTCCGCTGGTGGTGGTGGTGGGGCGCCGGAGAAGGCAGTGGCGTTGACGTCAGGGCAGAGGAAGCAGCTGGAGAGGATTCGGCGAGTGCCTCTCACCCATGAACTAATAACCCATCATGTGCTTATAACCCGTGTGCTTATAACCTCCTGTGACTCCACCAGGTGCTCTCTCTCTTGGAGCAAATAGAACAGGCGCATGCAGCACACAGCACAGGTGGTGCTGCCAGTTCCGCTGGTGGTGGTGGTGGGGCACCGGAGAAGGCAGTGGCGTTGACGTCAGGGCAGAGGAAGCAGCTGGAGAGGATCCGGCGAGTGGCGGCTGTTCTGGAGACCTCACTGCTGCGCCTTGACAATACCATTACGCTCTTCTCTGCGTTCTGACTTCCAGCCTGACTGGGAGCAGGGGGGTAAGGGAGAGCAGAGGGGAGCAGGTAGAGCAGGCAGCAGGCAGGAGTGCCATTCAGTGGTGGTGGTGGTGCTGCTGCTGGTGGTGACGTCAGGGCAGAGGAAGCAGCTGGAGAGGATAGGGCGAGTGGCGGCAGTGCTGGAGACCTCACTGCTGCGTCTTGACGATACAATCACACTTTTCTCTGCGTTCTAAGGTCCGGTCAGGGGTGCCATTCAGTGGTGGTGGTGCTGCTGGTGAAAGGAGGGCAGAGGAAGCAGCTGGAGAGTATTCGGGAGTGGCGGTGGTGCTACTCTAGCTGTTTGTTATTTTGCTTTAAGCCTAGCTTCACTACTGCTGCTCCCTGAGAATTATGTCTGAAGATCTGCTGGTGAAAGGAGGGCAGAGGAAGCAGCTGGAGAGGATACGGCGAGTGGTGGCAGTGCTGGAGACCTCATTGCTGCACCTTGACGATATGATTACGCTCTTCTCTGCGTTTTAAGGGTGGCTGGGAGATGGGCTGCAGGGCGATTCAACGCCTCATTTTCACATCAGTGCTGGAGACATCATTGCTGCGCCTTGACGATGCCATCGTCACTCTCTTCTCCACATTTTAAGGGTGGCTTGGAGATTTGGGAGTGGAGGGAGCAGGGATAGTAGGGCAGCAGTGCAGCACAAAGCCTCGCTAAATAGCCCTAGCTGCTGCGCGTTGCGATGCCATCACTCTGTTTTCTGCATTCAGGTTGGCTAACAGTACCAGTTCTGTAATTTTCTCCTTTGATTATGTTTGCCCGCCACCATTCTCCAGTACACCACACCACAACCGGTACCATAGATCTGGTTTCAGCATGCTCCTATGAGAAGCATGCTCCTGTCACAAAGCATGCTCCATTGCTCCTCTCATTCGATCCATCCCTAGTGTTTTACCTCTCCTGAGTAGATTGCATGAACTTGGCAAACACAAGTGAGACTGACAATGCAGCACAGCAGTGTCAAGACATAGTGGATTAATCTGGTCACCACTTGAAAGAAAACGGTTCCAAATACTCGACCTACGAGCACACAAAAGAAAGAAAACAACAAGTAAAAAATAACAAACAAAGAACACACACCAACACACACGACAACCTAATGACATAATGACAGTTTATCCCTCTCAAGAGCAGGTATGTCGACGAATGAAAGACAGCAGTCTTCCGACAAAGCAATTTTTCCCCGCACAAGAAACGGGAAGCATTGTATTGCACAAAATTTCACCACCGCCCCATGTCTCCACCATGGGTGCTTGCTTTGCCCCCCAAATCCCCACCAATGTAGACAATCCATGGCTCGAATTGAAAACCATCTCGGGATCGAAATGAGGTGACTTTTGAGTCGACTCAAAGATCCCCATCAATGTAGATAATCCATGGCTCGAAAACCATCCCGGGATCAAAATGGCCCTGCCCTGCACTGCTTCTGCGCCAGCCAATGAGGAGACCAGTAAGAGGCGGAACCATCTGCGACCCGTGGCAGTTTGCTCGCAATTGCCACCACCCAAAACGTCTCCAGCCAATGAAGAAACAACAGCAACCGCCTGCGGTTCCTGCTTCTGCTTTAACCAAAACCACCAACATTCCTGCAGCTGGAAGAAGGTTCAACCACTGAAACTGATGCACCCGCGAGAAACTTCTGCCACCGAAATTTCTGAAGCTGCAACTGGTACTGAAAGCCCTGTAGCTGCAGCTGCACCTGCCTAATAAAACTGCTGCCATGCCACCAACGCCACTGCATCTCAGACAGCTGCTGCTGATTTCAAAAAGTTTCCGAAAAAAAACACTACCTATCTTCACAACCCCTGAGATCAAACTCTTCCCAATCAAACCACACCCACTGCCACTGCAACCGTAGCCGCTCCAAATGCAGCCATAGAATCAAAGCTCCAGATTCTATGATTCTGACCCTGCTGCCAAAAAAAACTGCTCTGGAGCCGATCATTACTGTCATATGCAGACCACACCATGACTTTTCTGCAGACCGATCACCGAATGCTGGCGCTATGACTGGAACACTGAAAGCTGGCGCTACCCTTAGCAGCGGCAGCTGCTGCTGGTGCTGCTGCTGGTGGTTCCGATGCTGCCAATTCCGGCTTCGTGCGCAAATGAATGGACGAATAAGGCTCAGAGTCAAAGCCAGCCAACCGCTCCATGGTCACGTAGATGAATGTGATTAACCGTCCCATCCACGTCAGCTTAGTCAGAAGAGTTGATTAAAAAGAGTTGATTATCCCAACTGTCCCTCCCTCTCTCCAGCATACCCGTAAAAAGTGGGCAGCTGTATCCGTCCTGTATCCGTCCCTCCTCAGAACGATCGAAAGACTTGAAAAAAACAAACAGGACAAAAACAAAATGTGCGAAGACAATCAGCAGGAAGGCCAGAGGGTGTGTTACTCCGCTGCTGCGACTGCAGCAGCAGCAGGAATAGGTGCCGAGACATAAGGTGCAGCAGAGACCGAGAGAGGGGCAGCAGAAGCGGGAGCGGAAGAAAGAGGAGCAGGAGGAGCAGCAACAGACAAGGCATGGGACGCGAGCTCTGCTGGTTTGAGGGACTGGGTGATGGGCAAGCGGGTGGAGAAGGCGAGATCAAGGAGAGAGATCGAGGGGCGGGATGGGGAGGAGAGCACGGGAGACACGGACGAGAGGAGTGGGCTGGAGGAGGGGGTGAAGACGTGGGGAGCAGCAGCAGGAGTGGTGGCGTTGGCAGCATTTGAATCATCAGCAGCAGGAGGAGCAGCAGCAGCAGCAGCAGCAACAGCAGGTAGTGGTGAGGAGGAGGAGGCTGCTTCTGCAGCTACACTGCCATCAGCAGCGGGTGCTGGGGACTTAGGAGGAGACTGTGAAAGCGAAGCAGGTGGGGGAGATGAGGTGGTGGTTCCAGCAGCGGTGGTGGACGGGGAAGCGACTGGCTTGGAGATGACGTGCAGCATTTCCCGCATGGCAGCCTGGAAAAGGGTGAGATGGGTGAGGAAGCGAGTGTGGGAGGGAGTGAGAGGGAGGAGGGAGGTACAGACGATTAGAAACGCGGTGGTGGCAGTGGAAAGGGTGGGGAGGAGAGGGGCTTGGAGATGACATGAGGGACTTCTTGCATGGTCGACAGGAAGAGGAAGAGATGGGTGTGAGGGAGCAAGTGATGGAGGGATATAAAACAATTAGAAGTGTGATTGAGAATGTACAACAAAATCGACGCGGAGGAATTTCCAACAATTGATATGTACATTCGCAGGCAGTGCATTTTCGACATCAACTGCCCATAAAACCAAGTAAGTATTTCACATGGTTGTGAGCATCAGCCCATGCAAGGTTAGTTTTTTCTAGGCAATTGATGTCGAAAATGCACTGCCTCTGAATGTACATCCCAAGTGTTGGAAACTCCCCCGTGTTGATTTTGTCTAACTGACTGCCAAACACACGCACACTCACATACCCCCCCTCTCCCCCCCCCCCCCTCCCCTCCCCCCCACACACACACAAACCTGCACATGCCACATGGCAAACAAGCCCGAGCAGATGTTGGCCTCGGGGCGGAGCGGGTCGTCAATCCAGAGAGCAGTTTCAACCGACAACACCACACACAAACCCACACACCAGCGCGCGCACACCCATGCTCATACCCCCCCCCCCCCCCCCCCCCCCCTGCACACACCTGCACGTGCCACATGGCAAACGAGCCTGAGCCGATGTTGGCACCGGGGCGGAGCGGGTCGTCAATCCAGAGAGCAGCCGGCGGCATGGAGGGGTCGCGCCAGAACACGCCGCCCGGCATGCCATTCAGACCCTGGGAGAAGTGGAGAATGATCAAGAATCAGAATGATCCAAGAATCAGAATGATCCAAGAATCAGAATGAGAAGCGAGAGGGTAGTCAGTCGCAGCAGCCGCAGCAGGAGGCATACAGGGGTCCCTCCAGAACACTCCCTTCTCACTTCCTCTCAGAATGAGCCCCAAGCGAGACCGGTCGATCTCCTGACCGAACAGGTCAAAGAAGCCTGTTGGCATCAGAAACTTTCTATTGTCAAAGAAGCCAATGTGTGTTCAGTTTTGAGGTGCATCAGAAACTTTCTATTGTCTCACTTGCCCTGAAAATGAGGCGCACGCAAAGAATGCCAATTTTCCTGACCGAGAAGTTCACACCAACGGATCTTCTCACCAACTATTTTACCAAATCAACTAATAAAACGTTTTACTTACCCTGAGAATGAGGCGCACGCGAGAAAGGTCAATCTCCTGACCAAACAGATGCAGGAAGCCGATAAGCAGCACTCCCAGGTTCGGCACAGGTACGGACTGCGCCGAACCAGGCAAGTCGTCCACCACTACCCCCTTCACAGGTCCGTCCGCTGCAGTCACTGACGCCACTTCAACCGCCTTGCTGCTGTTGCTATTCTCAGCAGCTGATGGTTTTTCTTTTGTGCCAGATGCAGCATCAGCATCTGAAGACCCGGCAGCAGCACCATCACCACCACCAGCAGCAGCAGCAGCAGCAGCAGCAGCAGCAGCAGCAGCAGTAGTGGCGTCATCGCCGCCCGAAGCAGCAGCTGCGGCAGTGGTAACACTATCTGAAGCAGTCACATTTTCCGCTGAAGCAGCAGCAGCAGCATCAGCATCATTATCAGCAGCAGCAGCATCACCACTGGCTTGCTCAACCTTGGAGTCTGCAGACTTGGATCCTGGTGACTTGGTTGCTGCCTCAGCAGGAGCAGTAGTAGCAGGAGGGGGGGACATGCCACATGCGACAGGAGCTCTCTGCAGGGATGGGAAGCAAAGGAGAGAACAGACACACAGAAGTGTTGAGCACCAGACTTCAGCAGCATCAGCACCACCAGCGGCATTGCCATTAGGTTGCTCAACCTTAGAATCTGCAAACTTGGATCCTGGTGACTTGGCTGCTGCCTCAGCAGGAGCAGCAGCAGGAGGGTGAAACATGCCACATGCGACAGGGGCTCTCTGGAGGGATAAAGGAGGAGGCAGGACCACACCAGGGGTGGTGAGGATACAACAGGGGTTGGGAACTCACCACAGCGCACAAAAAGGAGAACATATCTCCGTAGAAAACAGACACCATAGTCAAGAAACCCGAATTGTGGGTTGCTCAAAGAATGTACATCGAATCGAGTTGAACGACGCCAGGGAGCAGGGTAGAAGGAGGCTCAGGAAACACACATTGAGGTAAACGGCGAGCATCATAGTCAGAGAGAAGGATCATTCGAGGATGCTCGTCGAGGAACAACGACAGTCATAGTCCTTCGAATACAAAGGACCATTCGAAGGATTCAAAGGCGGCCAAAGTGCGTACCTCCAGGTAAAAGACGAGCATCATGGTGAGGGAGAAGGACCCGAGCCCGCCAGTGTAGACGTCCTTGAGACCCCGGTGGTGCAGGTAGGACTTCATCAGCAGCACCTGGAGAGTGGAAAGAGGACAAACGGGAGGGAGAAAGGAGTGGAAAGCAGGCAGGGGGGTGGAAATTGGCACGCAAAGGAATCACAAGGCAGGCCAGAGTGCAGACATCCTTGATGCTGGCCAGCTTTTGAGAAACTTCAAAATCGGCTGAATGCCGTTGCACAGGGAGGAGCTGAGCCCGCCAGTGTAGACGTTTTTGAGTCCTCGGTGGTGCAGGTAGGACAGGGTAAATGGAATCAACACAAGGGGGGCTGGGCTGGGCGGGGCTGGGCGGGATGGATGAATGAATGCATTCACACGTGTTTTGAGTCGGCTCAGAACAAGGAGATCAACCTGTAGACGACCTTGAGGCCTTGTTGGTGTGGCAGGACTAGAACAGTAACCTGTCATTCCAACCCCTCCAAGAAAGGCAAACTAGGGGGGCGAGAGCGGGCATTTTCTTGAGGCGTTCAATCACGAGCTCCCTGGCGGCCGACCCGTTGTGATGTCCATCTGAACCACTCATTCCTCGTGCACTCACTCTCACCAGGGAAACCAGCCCAGCCCATTCACTCACCAGGGGGGCGAGAGCCGGCATTTTCCTGAGGCGTTCAATCACGAGCTCTCTGGCGACCGACCCGTTGCGAGCGGCAGCTGCCTCGTCCAGCTTCCCCGCCAGCACCCTGCTGGCCGCATCCCCCACCTCCATGCCCTTGGGGCGCGTCAGGGAGAACGTACTGTCCATCCGAACCCCCATTACCTTACCTGTCCCCGCCCCGCCCTGCCCCGCCCGTGGCCCTGGCCCCCTTGAAGCAAGACAAACTAGACTCACCAGGGGGGCGAGGGCGGGCATTTTCTTGAGGCGTTCAATCACGAGCTCTCTGGCGGCCGACCCGTTGTGAGCCGCAGCAGCCTCGTCCAGCTTCCCCGCCAGCACCCTGCTGGCCGCATCCCCCACCTCCATGCCCTTGGGGCGCGACAGGGAGAACGTAATGTCCATCCGAACCCCCCTTACCTGTGAGACCTCCTACCCCCGTCCCCAGCCCGGCCCCAGCCCCGACCCCTGGCCCCGGCCAAGGCCCCGGCCCGGTCCCCGGGCCCGGCCCCCTTCAAGCAAGGCAGACTACACTCACCAGGGGGGCGAGGGCGGGCATCTTCTTGAGCCGCTCAATAACCAGCTCCCTGGCCGCTGATCCGTTGTGAGCCGCAGCAGCCTCGTCCAGCTTCCCCGCCAGCACCCTGCTGGCAGCATCAGACACCTCCATGGCCTTGGGCCGCGACAGGGAGAACGTTATGTCCATCCGAACCACTCCCTGCACGCTCGGCCCCACCAGGTCCGACGCCGAAGCAGACGGCTTCAGCGCCGTGGCTGCCGAACCTGCTGCTGCCGCCGCTGTGACGTTTGCCTCTCCTGCTTCGCTCTCTCCCACCACCGACGCGCCACCGCTCCCCTCTGTGGAACCAGAAGAGCCTGAAGACCTTTGAGACGTCTCAAAAGAACCTGAAGACCCAGCGCCCCGCTCAGAAGTCGACGGGGCCTTCTCCTTCTCTTCCTCTGCTCCTTCGGCGGAAGCGGGCGGCAGCGGGCGGCACTTGAGTTTGATGACGGGGATGCGGGCGGTTTCAATGGTGTGCAGGCTCTCGCACCACGGCTGCTTCTTCAGTGCAGCTGCCAGCTGCCTGATGAGCGGTGCACTGATGCGCGCACCTGGGAAGCGAGGGAGGAGGGGGAGAGGGGGGAGATGAGGGAGAGGAGGGAAGGAGAAGAAAGTGGGCTTGATGTTTAAGAAGCACCACCACCAGCGGCAGCACCAGAAGCAGCAGCAGCACCAGCAGCAGCAGCAGGAGGATTCGATGGTGTGCAGGCTCTCGCACCACGGCTGCTTCTTCAGTGCTGCCGCCAGCTGCCAGATGAGCAAAGCGCTGATGCGCGCACCTGGGAAGGAGCGCGAAGAGGGAGATGGGGGAGAGGAGGGAAAGAGAAGAAGATGGGCTTGATGTTTAAGAAGCACCACCAGCAGCAGCAGCAGCACCAGAAGCAGCAGCACCGCCAGCAGCGGCAGCACCAGAAGCAGCAGCACCACCAGCAGCAGCAGGCGGGTTCAATGGTGTGCGTGAGAGCATTTAAGAGACTGTTATACCCACGTGATGCAGTTCCTGTTGCAAGAACCTTATACGTCCACCCTAGGGCCTGATGCACGCACGCACCGGACAGGCTGGGGCGCTCTGGTAGGTTAGCGGTTGGTGGAGGTGACTCTTGAGTCAACTCAACTTTCAAGGCGCCTCAAAAATCAACTAATATATCGGTCCATTCACCTCTTGCACTTGGCAGGCTCATGCACGCACGCACCTGACAGGCCGGCGAGCCAGCAATTGGGACGAGTGCCCTTTGAGTCGACTCAAAAGTCGGTACATTCACCTCGTACATTCACTTGCAAGCACTTGACAGGCTCATGCACGCACACACCTGACAGGGTCGCGAGCTCCGGTAGGTCAACAATTGGAATGCGTGTTTTTCTGACTCCGGTGCCCTTTGAGTCAAGTCAGTGCATTCACCTCGACTCATAAGTCAACTCAAAAGTCAAACACCTAAAGCCTCATGAATGCACACACCTGACAGGGTCGCGAGCTCTGGTAGGTCAGCGGGTGGAGGAGGTGCGTTAATCACTGCCACGTCAACATCGCTGTGAGCGAGGGCAAGGCCAGTGGCGAATGAACCAAACACCTGAGGGAAGAAGTGGGACGGGGGATAGAGAGGAAGTGGGTTGGGTGAAGGGGGGGGGGGTGCGTTAATCACTGCCATGTCAACGTCGCTGTGAGCGAGGGCAAGGCCAGTGGCAAATGAACCAAACACCTGAAAGAATGAGAGTGAATGGGAGGGCGGATAGAGAAGTAGGGAGCAGGAGTGGGAGTGGAAGGGGTTTTTGGAGGGGTGGGGAAGAGGGAGGAGAAGGGAGAAAGGGGTTGCATTGATCACTGGCACATCAACATTGCTGTGAGCGAGGGCAAGCCCATGGCGAAGGAGCCAAACACCCGAGGGAATGGGCAAAACCGGGAGAGCAACTAGAGAGGAGGGAAACTGGAATGGAACTGGAGGATGTTTTTTGAGGGGTTTGGGGGGTTGGGGTGCACGAATCACTGTCACATCAACATCAATGTGAGCACACAGCAAGGCCACCGCCATAAGTCACAATAAGCGTCTCGGCCAATATTCAGCACGACTACTCACCTCAACGTCAGCTCCTTCCCAAAGCGACCTGAGACCGTGCGCCTGACACACGCCACTGCCTGCTCCGCGCTGACCCGCGCCTCCCTGGGCGGCCTTTCCAAAGCACAGGCATAATAACCCTAGTCTCCTAGACAGCAAGCAAAGCCCTAAACTCACCTCCACATCAGCTCCCTCCCACAGCGATCGCACAGTCCGCCTGACACACGCCACAGCCTGCTCCGCGCTGACCCTTAGACAGACCAGGGCACACACAAACAGCTCCCTGAGGGTGAAGCCTGGAACTCACGTCCACATCGGCTCCCTCCCACAGGGATCGCACAGTCCGCCTCACACACGCCACAGCCTGCTTCGCACTGACCCTTAGAAACAGACCAGGGCACACACAAACAGCTCGCTAGAGGGTAAAGCATGGAACTCACCTCCACATCAGCTCCCTCCCAGAGGGATCTAACAGTGCGCCTCACACACGCCACAGCCTGCTCCGCACTGACAGACCGCACACACAAGCAGCCCCCTTGTGGGTAAAGCTTGGAGCTCACCTCCACATCGGCTCCTTCCCACAGTGACCGCACTGTCCGTCTCACACACGCCACAGCCTGCTCTGCGCTGACCCGCGCCTCCCTGGGCGGCCGCACCTCCTCTGCATACGCCAGCACCTCCCCATGCAGCGCCCACCACACACCAGAACTCAATTCCACACGCAATCAGGCACAGCAACTCACCTCAACATCGGCTCCTTCCCACAGCGATCTGACCGTCCTCCTCACACACGCCACTGCCTGCTCCGCGCTGACCCGCGCCTCCCTGGGCGGCCGCACCTCCTCTGCATACGCCAGCACCTCCCCATGCAGCGCCGCCGCGTTTTGCAGCAGCGCAGCTGGTGGCACCGGGAACGCCGGGAACCCTGCGATCGGCACCGCTAGCATGCGCGGGTGCAGGTGCGGGAGCGGGTGCGGGTGGGGGTGTGGATGGGCGCGGGCGTGTGCGTGAGGGTTGGTGTGCGCGTGGAGGGGGGGTTGGCCTGCCGCGTGAGTGAGTGGGGTGAAGGGGAGAGGGTGGTAGAGAGAGGAGGGAGGAGCGCCTCCAGGGAGGACCCCTGCAGCTCCTGTATGGAAAGGGGGGCCTGGAATAACGGATCCTGCTGCTGCAGCTGCTGCTGCTCCTGCTGCTGCTGGAATAACGCCTCGACCTTGCCCTGCTGCTGCAGGCACAGCAGCACCAGCAGCACCAGCCACAGCAGCAGCGGAACCAACGCCACTCAAAGAAGCTGCTGCAGCCGCCGCCGCAGTAGCAGCTGCAGAAGCACCAGCAGCAACGACGCCACCTCCAGCCTGCCTCACCCCCCCTGCTGCTCCTGCCCCTGTTGCTGCTGCCCCAGCAGCAGCTGCCACTCCGCCGTGCCGATACCCGCCCCCTCTGCCCCCCACAGCGCCAGCAGCAGCGCTGCTTCCCCCAGGCGCAGCCCCCCCCTGGCGTTGCTGGTACCTCATAGGTCTCCCGTGCTGATTCCCCTGCTGGTGCTGGTGCTGATGCTGGTGGTGCTGGTGGTGCTGGTGGTGCGGTTGGTGCAGCTGCTGCTGCTGCCGTTGCATGTGCAGAATCGGCTGCCCCGCGCCTGCCGCCGCCGCAGCAGCAGCGGAAGCAGCGTGGGTAGGAGCTGAGGCGGTGTGCTGATGTGGAGAGGCCGCAGATGACGCACCTGATGCAGATGCACCAGTGGAAGCTCCAGGGGATACGCCAGTAGAACCGCTACTCTTCCCCCCCTGCTGCTGCTGCTGGTGCTGGTGATGATGGTGGTGGTTGTGATGCTGATTCTGCCGCTGTGGCTGAGTCGAACCCCTAGCAGAAACTTTAGACCCCGCTCCTCCTCCTCCCCCTCCACCACCACTGCTCTTCTTAGCACCACCCTCACTCTCACCCCCCTGGGTCTTCCCCTTCGGCCCCCCCGTCCCACCCTCCCCGGGTTTCTCACACCCTCCTTCCTTCTCCACCCCCTCTTCCTTATCCCCTGTCTTGCCACTCTCAACCTTCCTCCCGTCCTTCCCCTTCTCCCCAGCACCAGCCTGCTCTCCAGGCTTCCCTGCCTGCTTTCCCCCCCTACCCTGCTGCCCCTGCTGCTGTCTCTGCCCGTCCTGCTTCCCACTGGCGCCATGAGACTGCGACTGCGACCCCTGGTGCTTCTGGCTTCTCCCTTCAGCAGACCCAGCGCCACCGCCTGCCTGGCCTGTGCTTCCCTGCCCCGCCCCGCTGTCGCCCAGACGCTTCAGTATCGCCGCGTCGTTCCCCTGCCACGCCGGGCGCCGGGACCTCGCCGGCTGTGGTGCCGCTGCCAGCGGTTTCCCATCCGCGGCTGTAGCAGCAGCAGCTGCGTCGCTCGCGGCTGTAGCAGCGCCAGCGCCGGCAGAGGCACCTGCTGCCTGCCCGTCCTCCCCACCAGAGCGTGCCGCTACAGCTGTGGTAGAAGCAGCACTGCCTGCAGCACCACCCGTTGCACCAGCAGCAGCCCCCACACCAGCAATAGTTGCACCCCCTGCGGTCCTATCCGCCCCTTTGCCCGCCCCCTTCTTTCCCCCGCCCTTACCTTCCTTGCCCCCTCCTGCAGCCGGCGCCCCCCTCTTCACCCACACACCCGCGGATTTCTCCTCCCCACTCGCCCTCCGCCCCCCCCTTCCGCCCGCCCCCGCAGCAGCTCCCGCCGCCCCCCCTGCTCCGCCCCTCCCTTGCGCCTTCTCCTTGGGTCCGCTAGACACTTTAATCCACCCCTCCTCCTCCTCGTCACCAGCCTTCTCCCCGCTCGCACTCGGGGCTTTAGCCGCTGGTTTACCCTCTTTTGGAGGGCTACTTGAGCGGGTTTCCCCTGGCGCTGGTACTGTTGCTCCTGCCACAGAAGCCGGTACGTCAGTGCTAGCAGAAGCGCTAGCTGAGTCCGAGCGGGGTTCTTCCTTGCTCGCCTCCGCCACCCCTGCTGCGCCTGCTCCGCCTGCCACTCCCCCCGCCCCTCCGCCAGTCTCTCCCGCGCCTCCCCCTGAGGGCACTCCCGCTGCGCCCTCCGCGCCTTCAGGACTTCCCCCAGCAGCCGCGCCTTCCTCCGCCTTCCCCAGTAAAACCGCAGCAAATGACACATTGGCGCTACGCACCGACCACACACTCCCCCCACCTCCCGCCCCACCTGCGCCCCCCTCCCCCGCAGCCTTCCCCGGACTCCCGCCTCTCCCCGCCCTCTCCGCGTCTGCCTCCCCCGCTTTTTCCCCCTCCGCCCCTTGCTCGGAAGAGGAGGACTCTTCGCTCCGCCTATCCTCCGTATGGAGAACCCCGTTACCGTTACACTCCGCCTCGTGCTCCCCCCCGCCCGCGGACGACCGCTCCTCGCTGCTGCTTCCCCCCGTGGTGCTCAAATCGGGGGAAACCAGTCCGCTCCCGCTACTTCCGCTTCCAGACGACTTGCTGCAGCCGTCCGCCTCCCCCTGCCGCCACCGCCCTGCGGAATCCGCGCGGCCTCCGCTGTCCTTTCCGCCAGCTGCGGGAGGCGCGGGCGGCGGCGGCGGAACTGCTGCTGCCCCTGCTGCGCCGCCGCCACCCCCTCGCCCTGCGCCCACCCATCCTGCTCCCCCTCCGCCCCCCCCAGCATGCCCCACGCCATTGCCCCCTTGGTTCTGCGCGGAGCGCCAATGCGCCCCCTGATGCGGGTGCCCGTGCTTCTTCCCGCGGAAATGCCCCCCACCGCCGCCAGAATAACCGCCGCGCATACCCCTGCCCTTGGGTTTGACCTTCTCCCACTGCCCGCCCTCCTCGTCCCCCTGCTGCTTCTTCTCCCCCTTGCCTTCTTCCCCTTCCAGCAACCCAAAGACTCTCAGCAAGTTGTTGGCCTGCACGAGGAACCAAGAGGGAAAAAGGCACGTGTGAAAGGTTGGGTTTTGAGACGTTTCAAAACTCCACAAACCAAAGACCCGCAGCAAGTTGTTGGCCTGCACGAAGAACCAAGAGGGAAAAAGGCACGTGTGAAGGTTGGGTTTTGAGACGTTTCAAAGCTCAACAAACCAAAGACTCTCAGCAAGTTGTTGGCCTGCACGAGGAACCAAGAGGGAAGAGGGAAACGCAAAAAAAAAAAAAAAGTTTGTGTTGTTGTATTTCCCGGCCCCTTCAGAAGGAAGGGGGAGCGCTGCTGCTTTCCCCCGCCCTTGAGCTAGAACTTGTCTTACTGCCCGCCCTCCTCGTCCCCCTCCTGCTGCTGCTGCTGCTGCTGCTGCTGCGGCTGCTGCTGCTGCTGCTGCTGCGGCTGCTGCTGCTGCTGCTGCTGCTGCGGCTGCTGCTGTTGCGGCTGCCTTTCACCTTTCCCCCAATCCAGCAGACCAGAAATCCGAAAAAGGATATTCGCCTGTAGGAGGAATGAAAATAAACCCTCCTAGACTTTTCATAAGGGCATCTTACCTTCGCGTTAAGAGACGCCTCAACTCCCCAGGCCACGCTACCTCCAAGCCACCATGCCTTAACGCAATCACAAAGCAAACTTCAACCAGCAACCAAGCAAAAACGTTCTAGAAGCAATCATCCCTTGCCAGGAAGGGATGATCTTGCATTCACTCCTAAAAAAAAATTACCTCGAAACGTAGCTCGGAACGTTCCTCCGAAAGAAGGAGCGTTCTTTAGCATGAAAGAAGGTATCCGCTCTGGTGCATTGGTACAACTTCTTGCGTGTTGACTTATTAATCAGGATTTTTGCATTTACAATTCCCATAGATTGTACCTGATTTTTGCGTACGCCCCCCTCACAGAACGTGTCTCGTCACGAAAAAGCGTTCTAGCACGAGAGAAGAACATACCCGTCCTACTGCATTGGTACAGAGCCTTTTCAAGTTGACTCAAAAGGCATGTTCTTGCAGCCAACCCTCTAAAACGAAGTACCTCAAAGGGAGAGTAAGTACAGAATCCGTATCCCTACGAACGCATCTGTCCTACTGCAGTAGTACAGGTGTCAACTCAAAAGCTATAATCTTGCATTGCATGGGATCCACCCCTTTCAAAGAACGTGCATCAGGCGGAGACTGGGTATAGCCAGCAATGATTTCGAACCGCACAAGGCTACTGTGTATTGTGCCTTGGCAAGGCATGCTCTTGCATTGCATCCATCCACACCCACGCCCTTCACAGAACGTGCATCAGGCGGAGACTGGCTATAACCAGCAAGCAATGTTTTCGAACCACACAAGGGTGACTTGGCAAGGCTCGCAGCAACACCTGGTGACCTCTAGTCTAGATGGGGCGGCGTCTGACTGTGCGAGGCGGCGTCTGACTGTGCTAACGAATGACCTCGTATTTTGAGCCATGAACACAAGTCACGTGGTGAGGGCATCTCTAGATGAAGCGGCGACTGACTGTCTGTGCCTGGAAATGACCTGGTGAACTGAGATAAAAAGAGGTGACTTTTGAGTCGACTCAAAAGTCACCTCGCAACGTGGTGAGGGTATCCCTAGATGAAGCGACGACAGACTGTGCCTGGAAATGACCTGGTGACTTAAGATAAAAAGAGAGCGTAACTCGGCGAGGGGGAGCACGAGTCGTACCGTGGTGAGGGCAGCTCTGAAGGAGGTGGTGACTGGCTATGCGTTCGAATGGCCAGGTTATTCAAATCATTACCAAACGTAACTCGGCCGATGGGAGCTAGAGTCAAAGCTTGGGTCGTGCAGTGATACAGGACCGAAGGAACTTGACTTGGTGATTGCACCTCTAGGTGAGGTAGTGAGTACTTCTAAAACCCTGCAGACCTCGAAAAAAAGGAGATCTTGAGCCGAAGATTGGACCCGTTCGAGTAGTGCAAGCGCTGGTAACTGTAGCTCCAGGTGAGCTGGTTCGTTCAGCTAACTTTGACCCAACAGCACCTCGGCAAGAGAAAGTTCGAGACGTGACTTGGGCCCGTCATAGTGATACAGGCAAAAACCAACGGAATTGAACTTGGGTATCGCACATCTAAGTGGGTTGGTGAAGTGTGACCCTACACACCTCGAAAAGAGAGAGCTCGCGTCCAAGTCTGGCCTCGTCTGATTGGTACAGGCACCGGCGGAACTTGAGTTGTTGGATGGACTCCTAAATGACCAACGCACCTCATCAAGTAAGAGCGATCGAGTCAATACTTGGATCCGTCGCAATGGCGTAGGCACCAGTGATGAGTAAAGCTCTATGCCTTGGTTCGTTTGACTTGCTAGAACATCGGTTCGTACCTCGGTCAGGAAGAGCTCGAGTCAATACTTGGATCCGTCGCGGTGGTATGGTGGCATTGATGAGTAAAGCTCTATACTTGGTTCGTTCTACTTGCTAGAACCTCGGTTCGCACCTCGGTCAGGGAGAGCTCGAGGCGGAACTTGGGCCCGTCATCGCGATACAGGAAAACGGCAAAACTGATCTTGGTCATTTCACCTCTGAATGAATAATTTCCTACACCTTTTTTCCATTCTTTTTCACAGAAAAGGAAATGGTGTAAGCAGCGACCGTATAACCCAGCGTACCTCGGTCAAAGAGAGCTCGAGGCGGAACTTGGGCCCGTCGTAGTGATACAGGAACCGACGGAACTTGGTCTCGTCCAGCGGTGACCGTTGCTCCCGCAGACGAACCCTAACCTGCATGACGCACAAAACGGAAGGTGGAAGACCAAGGGGATAGCCCGCTTGCCAATGCTCCATGAGAAAAGAAAGTGACAGTACAGTTTCAAGAACAGCAACACAAATTCACGCTAAGAAAATCATTTACCAAACAAACAAATACAAAAAAGGGAGGGGGGGGGGGGGGGGGGGGGGGGGAAGGGGGGGGGAAGGGGGGGGGAAGGTGGGGGGGATTCGGGGGGTGTTGGGGGGGTGGAGGGGTGAGGGGAAAGGGGAGAAGGAGAAGGAGGATTCAACAGTCTGAAGCACAAGGTGAACCTTACTTGTGATGGAAATTTCGATAACGACGGGTCTAGGTTCAGGCCACCTTCGCTTGATGCCTATAATGGTTTGGGTGACGAAACGGCAAGAAGAGGAAGGAGTAGCGAAACAAGTACACAGAAATCAAGCGTGAGGGGACGGAGTTAGAGAGAGAAAGGGAGGCAATCTGATGCTTCGCCGGTTCTCAGAACGCTAGCTATGAGCTATTCTGCACCTTAGCGGTCTCTACGTCACAACCATTTACAGTACAGCAGGAAAAGTACACACTTCCATTGATCAAATGCAGCGTTCTTCTGTTCTAAACAACTCTTTGGCCACCAAGGGATTCTGATAACAAACCTCGAAGACGCCGTGTAAATGGTGAGTGGTGTAGTTGTAGAGAAACAGCGGCATTCCCGGTTGAATCCCCCGAACCGACTCGTGATACTTCTGCGGTAAGCCTGTAAGCAAGACACATAGGAGATCGAAAAACAGCGTGCGATAATGAATCCTCGTATCACAAAACTGCACTTGTTTCGCCTCGAACAGGATCGAACGGAGATCTAGAAACGAAGGTCAACATGGGAATGGCACATATAGTTTATCAGTCACTGACTGAATACGAGCCCCTCGACAGTTTGAAAAAGACACGGAAGAAAAAAACTACAACGAGACTTTCCCACTTGAGTAAAAAAAAAACAAAAAACAAAACCGGAAGATGCGCATTAACTTCAAGAACGTCGTTGAAACTGCGATGACGTGAGCACTGTGAACGACGTAATTACGACGCCGACTCAGAAGTCACTTCGTCAAAGCTGCGATAAAGCGAGCAACGCGAACGATACGACGGGAACCAATGCTGAAAAGGGCATCCAATGTTCGACAGCGATCGAGGGGTAAACGAACATCTATTCCTCTTATCAGGTGCCTTAGTTGCCATCAAAAGCTTTTGGCTGTGAACGATTTGCCTGACGCCGATCTACGGCTCGATAGGCATATCGCGTATCAATCACCGAGAGACGCAAACCTGTCGATCGCCGACAGTTGTAAACCTGTCAATCGCCACGTCACGGCCTTCATCGCTTCGTTGTTGCACACGAACACGTAAACTGCCAGCAGCGTTGAAGCCACCCCAAAAGCATCACCAAGGAGAAGAGATACCCGTCGATCGGCAAGAAACGGGCTGACTTTTGAGTCGACTCAAAAGTCAGCTCGAATACGTCACCCGTCAGCTGCGTTGAAGCCACCCCAAAAGCATCACCAAGGAGAAGAGATACCCGTCGATCGGCAAGAAACGGCTCACCGAAAAGCTCGCGTTTAATGTCATCCTCCATGGTTTCATTGTTGCACACGAATATATAACCCGCAAGAGGGTCCTCCAACGGGGGAACGTCCGTCGACGGAACGGCAGACTTCCGATCGTGAAACCCCTCCTGCTGCCGGTACGTCTTTAAGTTGGCCATTTCAAATGGCCTGGCGGAGGGCCTGGACGGCCCAGCGCCTTAACCTAAGACTGCTTCACAAACTAAAAACTAACGGAGATTAATTTGGCGCTTCCGTTACAGGCCGACTCGACCTGGCCGTCCAACTAAACCCCGATAATGGAGGATGCAACGATAAGGGTTCCGACGTAGCAGACAGATGAACGAGAGAGATCGAGACGCCGATGGCAGTCTTGTGGGAGTAAAGACCGGGAAAGTAAGCTACTCCTGCCTTGACACACACTCCAGAAGATACAGAAGCTGCTCCGAACGCCCTAAACCAGAACCTGTTGGTGTGTGAACGAGCAGGACGGAATTCCGCGACAAAGGGAGGAGAACTGGGGGGTTTGGGTTGGGGAGAACGAGACGAGGTAGTAAGCATGGCTTGAGGTGAAGGTGTCGGCTCAACCGTTTTGTTCTCCCCTGTAACTCGCAGAAGCGCTTTGAAGGACTCATTAATCCGCTTAAACCGCAAACAAATATCTTTGCAAGGCCTTGTTCAATAAGGGGGATGGTTTGGGAGGGGGGTGAGGCATGCGGGAGGGCGTGATGGAATGGAATGGGATGGAAGCGAAGCGCAGTGTGCGAAGCGAAGTCGCTGTGCGACGTAAACGATATCAGATGCGATGTCCTTGTGATGGCTGACCTGCGTGCCTGTCGCAGAGCAACCATATCGGCCAGCCACAAACAGCTGCGGCGATGATGGGTGCGACTGGCGGTTCGTGAAATTCAGGGTGCTGTGCTGGGGACTGTGGCGATGACGAGCCGTCCATCGCACATGCCTCGCCTGGTCTGGCGACGCTTGCGAAATCTGGGATGATGTACCTGAGTGACCAGGTGGATTTCTCGAAGTCTGAACACCAATCATATGCGAGAAGCGGCCTTCCGTGGAGAAAGCTGCGGATAGGGCCGTGGATTCTTCTGGCTCTTGTGTACCTTGGCAGCCAGCCATCTGTGCCCCCGCAAGCAACTCCAGCACTTGAGGAACAATTTCTCGGAACAAATTGCCATAACTTCTGCGGCGCGCTTTGTGCGATATTGTAAGGAATTTTCTCGGCATTCCTTACGGAGCCGACTACATCGCGTACAGCAACAGCCGATTGTTCGCCCGTTACTACTAACGGAACATTGTGAAAGCTTGCTTAGTCCATCTTGCAAAGGCAGCGTGCTTCATTCCAAGTGGGTTTAATACAACGTTCTCGTTCATAAATGATACACATTGGGGTGGGTGGTGGGAAAGTAAACTAGAAAAGTTGGAAATGAAGAACGTGGGTGAAGGCGACTGAACCCACGTCCCTCTTTTGTAGGCAAAAGAGGGGTGAGTAGCGTCGAGCCGCTACCTTTGCTTTCCTGGCCACGTCCTCGCTTTCACAATACGAAATTTGAAAAAGTGTTACACTTTTAAAAATTATAATATTGTGAAAGCTTGCTTAGTCCATCTTGCAAAGGCAGCGTGCTTCATTCCAAGTGGGTCTTCTGAGGCAAGTGCATTTTGGGTCGGCGGTGCCTCTCCAACGATTGCTGGTGCCGACCAGGCGACGGGGCTGCAGAGGTGTCCTGCAGCCGGGTGGAGAGGTCGATGAGTTGGTCTTGGGCGATGGTGACGTAGAGATCCTTCGCGCCGTCGCTGCGCCATCGCCCCATTCGTTTGAAGAGCCGGTCAGGGATGCCTAACGCCGCTGCTGCCGTTGCCGCGCCCTTGCGGAATGAGTGTGTCCCGATGTGTGTGGCGTCGAGCCCTGCCTTCTTGCACGCCTCGAGGCACCAGCTCCGAATGGTTGGGTATGAAGGCGATTTGTCGTGCGGCGAGGCCTGTGCCCTTTTGTTGAAAACCCGAATCAGTGGCCCGTGAGGCATGTTTACAAGGCCTGCGATGCGAATGAACTCCCGTGTGCATCTCACTGCGCAGTAGGGCCCTGCTGACGCTGCGACCGGGATCCACGTGCCCTTGCCTTCTTGGTCCGTCTTAGAGTAGGGAATCAGTAGCCACATTGCCTCCCCTTCGAACTGAATGTCGTTCCATTGGAGGGAGATCAGGTCGGAGTAGCGCAGGAATGCCGCGAACATCAAGAGAGGTATCAAGCCTTTCTGATATTCCGCCGGCACTGTTGATTCCAGGAATGGTCGTGCCATGTTGTGCACTTGGTGTAGTGACACGGGTTCCTTGGTCCTTGTTGGGCGTAGGCCATGTCGCTTAGCGAACTCTCGTACTTGCAGCGTGAACGGGCCGTTCGTTGGGGATGCCTCTCCGGTCATTCGATGGGCGAAGGCTACGGCAGAGCATGTGAGGTTGATCGCTGACGTTGTTGCCTTGTTGTTCAACGCATGGACTAGGTAGAGTGCCAGCGTGAGGTCCGTCGCTGGCAGAAAAGCTAGCTTGACTCGGGTGCAAAAGTTGCGAAATTTGAGCCAGTAAGGCTGGTATGTCTCGATCGTAGACGGTGCGCGAACATCATTTATAACTTGTAACAGTTGGTTTTGAAGCTGGGTCAATAATCCTGAAAGAATTAACACTCGAATATTAGTCACGTATGATATTTTACATGCAAGGCAATTATTGGGCTATGGGGTAGGCCTAGTCCGGAAAATGCTGTTGCATGCGAACCAGGTCGAAGGCACTGGCTGCCTTGAGCGAGTGGCAAGCATGCGATCACTTCTGGGGCCCATGTCTCTGGGGAGGGTTGTAGCAACGGCCACCATGCTGCTCCCGGCCACTTGGGGACGACGAGTGTCAACTCGGCTTGTGTGCGCCTGGCGTGAGAGAGTGTGGCTGGGATCAAGCCGGGGGGCGGAAAGGTGAAGCACCGCTCGCCTTTCCACGAGATCGAGAACGCGTCAATTGCTGTGGCACTTGGGTGCGGTATCTTGGAGCAGAATCGTTGCAGCCTCCTGTTGCTAATGTTCGCGAAAAGGTCGATCGTATGGGGGCCCCATCGACGTTCCAGTAGGCGAAACCATGGCATGTGCAGCGAGTAGTCGTCATGGTCTTGGAGTTTTGACAGTTCGTCCGCGTGGGCATTGAGCTCCCTTGGGATCCATTCGATTGCCAGACGTGTATGGTTCTTGAGGCAAAACTGTATGACTGCTTGACAAGTCAGTGTGAGCCGAGGTTGACTGGACCCCCCTTTGCGCAAGATAAACATGACTCCTTGGTTGTCCACGCGAACCAAAACGTGGCCGCCTGTGAGATGGGACGCAAATGTCTGTAGCGCCCAGAGGACACCCTCGAGCTCCCTTTGAGTGCTTGAGGTTGGGAGGAGCTCGCTCGGCATGCTGGCGCTTGCTTCGTACGACGCGTCGGTAAACTTGGTGAGGGTGGCGCCCCAGCTGTGAGCGCTCGCGTCGACGTGGATCACAGCATCGAATTGATGGCTTAGGTGAAATGGGGCACCGTTAAACTGGTCGAAGTGCAGTTGCCAGAAGATTAGCTCCTCGATGGCGGCCCGTGTCAGCCCGATCCTTGAGTTCCAGGATGCCGCTGTCTCGATCAATTGTAGCAGCTCGTGGCTGAATGCGCGTGCTGTTGTGCCCAATGCGAGGGACATAGAGCTCAACATTCCGGTGATACGAGCGACTTCCCGAATTGGGACTTGCTGGCCGCGTTGCCCCTTGGAGATGAGTGTGTGCAGCTTGTCGAGGAACTGCGCTCGCCGATCGGAGCCAATGCTAAACATGCCGCATGTCGTGTCCAGCTCCATCCCCAGAAATCGTGTTTGATGGGCCGGCTGGAGGCGTGATTTCTTTTCGTTGATCACGAAACCTGCCGCCCCCAGGTCTCGGAGAACCTCTGTGCATGTCTTGCGTGCGTGCTCCGCCGAGTCGCAGAGGAATAGCAGGTCGTCCACATATGGGACTACGCGCACGCCCCGCGCCCGCCAGCGTTTGGCCAATTGCTTGATCAACTGGGTGAAGACGAAAGGTGCTGTCGCCAGTCCAAACGGCAAGGCTCGGAAGCAGTAGAACTCGCCTTCGAATTGGAAGCCTAGGAACTTCCAGCACGAAGGGTGCATCTCGACATGGTGGTAGCCCGATTTTAGGTCAATGGTGAACAGCCAGTCGTTGCGTCGAATGATCTCCGAAACGCGATTCAGGCCCTCGTATTTGAATTTAGTGACTTGGAGGTGTTGGTTGACCTTGCGTAGGTCGAGGATGAGGCGACATTTGTCGCGTTGTTCTACCACGTTGAGTGGGCTCACGCACGAGAGCGCAGTCCGCGAGGCGACCTTGGTTGCCGCGCCCGATGTGATTAAGTCGCGAATGGCCTCACGAATGAACGTGGTGTGTGCATGAACACCCGCGTGGTTTGTGGTTTCGAAGGGTGGCGGTTCTGTAGTTTTCCAAGGCAGCCAATATCCCCTGGCAATAATAGAGATGATAAAACTGCTGTCGCACCACGATATCCACCAATGCAGTTGGTTACGCAATCGGTTGCGCATGACCTTCACTGTGTCATCTGTGACCGCGTTCTCGTATGGGTCCCATTCCGCCTCTCGCCACTTGTCGTCCGCTACTGCACGTGGGGCAACCGGGGTGTGGTGTATTGGGTGATTAGCCTTTGCCCATAGGACCAGCCCGGGGGCTTATGCATACTCGGTGCTACGCCTTCCGTCTCTCCTTGTATCCTCCCTCCTCTAGTCTTCCTTTCTCCATGTTTCTTGCTCTCACTCTCTTTCTCTCTCTCTCTCTCTCTCTCTCTCTCTCTCTCTCTCTCTCTCTCTCTCTCTCTCTCTCTCACACTCTCTCTCGCTCTCACTCTCTCGCTCTCGCTCTCTCTCTCTCTCGCTCTTGCTCTCTCTCGCTCTCTCTCGCTCTCTTTCCCTCCCTCTCCCTCTCTCTCTCTCTTTCTCTCTCTCCCTTTCTCTTCCTTGCGTTCTCTCTCTCTCTCGCTCGCTCTCTCGTTCTCTTGCTCACTCCTCTTCTGATCTTTCCATTTGCTCTTCTTCTCGAACTCTGCCCCGTATTCGCACGTTTTCCTTCCATCT